CCAAAACACTGGAGGACACAATTTGCTTGTAAAGTAACTAAATAGGTAATAGAAATAGAAACCTCAGAACCCTAGATGTCTTCTTAACTCCAGATTTTGATTTGGACTTTAATCTGTTTTTTTTTTTTTTAATATATGTGATGCTATCTGTTTGGCTCATGAGAATTTTTATTCATGTTAAATCAATATTTTTCTGGATCTCGAGTGTTGTGGCAATGGGTTTGACAAGTAAATTATGTGACATTGTATAAGTATGTGTCTCAAATGTGCATTTCTCGCTTTAAGGAACTGGAACACCCTGCATTAACCCAGTCTTCTGGTATTTGCCTAGGAATTTTTGCATTCAAGTGCTCAAGAGCAGAGGAGATTTTTAACTTGCTGCAGGACCTGATGCAGTGTAACAGTATCAATGTGGTAGAGGAGCCTGTTGTCATCACAAGGAACAGTCATGCTTCTGAACTGGAACTGCCTCGGACACCTCAGACACCCAATGGTAAGGGCCTTCAAAAACTTGGCAGAGAGGAGGAGTGGGGACATGTGTTTGCTCTCTACTTTAAAGCATTTGTTTGTACCAAGGAGGAACTGGCATATTTGTGAGAGATCAGACTGACTTTTTTAAACCTTCAAGTTGTATTCTGCCATATGCCTAATGCTGCCCTTGTCATTTGTAAAAATTCATATGAATTTGGCACAATTTAAGGGTCATTATTAACTTAGCCTTTTTGCTGTAGAATGCGCAAGTGAGGATGGGATAATCTGGCATGATCCTTGTCAGTATTGTGACATTGCAGCAGTATGCAAGAGATTCACTGCTTTATGTCAAATTCTTTCTGATTTGCTAAGTGGGGCCACTTAATGTGGCCCAGTGCTGGCCATTAGCCTTTCCTGTATGATTTATCTCAAGGTGAACCACTTAATCCCTCACCTTCCTTTCTTGCTCCCACAAACTTGAATTGGCTGGTGGCACATTAACTGTAAAGCCACAAGTTTTGTGCTTTTGATATCTTGTTTCCAAGGCAACCGTTTAAAGCAGCAGTTACCAAATAGGTTTTAGACTCCAGTGTAACTTCAATTGGAACTCATCAGGACTACTATAAGAAGCTTATAGGAGTATCAATGTTTGTCTTGGGTATGGTATCTCTTGTTCTATTCTGTGTCTAGATTTGATTTAGGCAGTTTGACATTTGCTCATAGACAGGCATCTGGCTTGGTTTATAAGCTACATCCTGCCCCTTTACAGTGGAGACCTTCATCAGCTTATCTAGAACCACTAGCTTTCTGACAGAGAAATCATGTTTTCTTTTCAAATATTTTTGTAGTCTTGTGTAAGACCAGTTCTGAAGATTTGCTAAGCATGTTCCTCTTCTAATGCCATTCTTACTTTTCTCCAGCTCTAGGATATACAGTTCCAGGGTTTCCCAATGGGTTCCACGCCTTCCCTGCAGAGGCTTCATCTTGCTCTGCAGCTCGACATGCCTCCATTAGCAGCCTAAGGCATTCTTCAGTTGGTGAGGACTCTACACATGCCCTCATTATCCCTGATGAACAAGTAAGTTCTCCTTATGGTGCACAAAACATGTAGCCTGATTGGCCAGTTCATATGACTGTAGAGAAATGGGCCCATGTTCTGTGTCACTGATACTACTCTTAGGACAGAATATGGCAAAATGAATGGTTTCCTATAGGCAATGTTGTCAGGGGTGCATTTTTACCTCCCCATCAGTTCATTCTGTATGCAGAACATATCTTTAGAAAAACTCAAAGAGGTCCGAAGAAGGTGTGGAAATTGGTGGAAGATACGTCTGTAATTTAAGATCTGTAGATGACACCATATTATGACCAAAACCAGCAGTGAATTGATATGACTCCTGATGAAAGTGAAAGAAGAGAGTGCAAAAGCTGAATTGCAGCTGAATGTTAAGAAAACAAAAATCATGACTATAGAAGAATTGTAGAACTTCACTGTCAGCAACAAAGAAATGAAATTGTGAAATATTTTGGATTCCTTGGCTCAGTTGTCAATTCACATGGAAACTGCAGCCAAGAAATGAGCTGAAAAGGGCAGCAGTGAAGAAACCAGAACAGATAATCAAGGATGTTTCATTGGTGACCAAATCCAAGATTATCCACACTATTACATTCCCAATCACTGTAAGTGTGCAAGCTGGACAGTGAAGAAAGATGACAGGAAGAAAAATGTGTTTGAAACATGGTACTGTAGACCAAGGCCTAAATCATCCATGCCATTGTACTCCTGATCACTATGTATGTGTGTGAAAGCTGGAAATTTGATGCATTTGAAACATGATGCTGGAGGAGAGGTTTGTGAAACCCTGGACTGACTGAAGGACAAGTAGGCCGTAGATCAAATCAAGCCAGAACTTTCCCTGGAAGCAAAATAATGACAAAACTAAAGCTGTTGTACTTCAAGGCAAGACTCACTGGAGAAGGCAATAATACTAGGAAAAGTTGAGGGCAGAAGAAGAGGAGACCAGTGATCAATTGGATTGATTCCATAAAGGATGCTACAGCCTTGAGTTTACAAGAGCTAAACTGGACTGTGAAGGACAGGACATTCTGAAGAGCATTCATTTGTAGGGTTGTCATAAGTTGGAAATGACTTGACAGCAGATAGCAACAACAGCCTCTGAAAATGCTCTCTTTTTTGTTCTCACCAACCTAGTTGTTCTTACAGGTGTGCATGTACGTAGGGTTTCAGATGTAGAGGTCAACAGCTGGAAGGCTGATATGGGGTTCATATGGCAGTTCATCAAGTAACTGAGTTTCAAATTGTTTAAAGCTTGAGAAATCTAGAGAGCCAGTGTGGCGTAGTGGTTAAGAGCCTGGGACTGGGACTCAGACGATCTGGGTTCTGGTCCCCGCTCAGCCATGGAGCCAACTGGGTGACTTTGGGCCAGTCACAGACTCTCAGCCCAACCTACCTCACAGGGTTGTTGTTGTGGGGATAAGATGGAGGAGGAGAATGATGTAAGCTGCCTTGAGCCCTTTGTAGGAAAAAGGCAGGATATAAATCAATCAATCAATCAATAAAAATTGTGCCTGGAAATGTACCGGGGATTTGTACAGCTGGTGCAATATAGATGTTGCATGCTGCAAGTGCCAAGTGCACATAAACACAGTATCTGGCCAGCAGAATTTTTTATGATTTGAAGTTTCTGAACCATCTTTAAAGACAACCCTTGTAGAGCGCTTTGGAATAGTCCAGCCTGGATGTCACTGGATGCCAGTAGAGCATGGATAGCTGAGGCAGGGTCCATTATCAACAGATTAGATTGCTGTCTGTGTGCCTAAGCATCTCCAATTAGTGCAGAGTTCAGGAGAACTTGCACATTGTGCACTCATTTCTTTCTAAGAGTAAACACATTTACAGCACAATCCTGTGCAAATTTACTCCGAGCATAATCCTTTACAAGTTTTACTGTATTCAGCTGGCAGACTCACTAGTGTGCTTAGAATTGCATTCATATTCTTTTATCAAAACAGTCTTTACTTTGAGAGAGAGAGTCTTTTAAAATTTAACAAAAGACAGCTTGCCTAGAAATGACCCATGCCACCTTGTATTCACTTCATGTATCAAACCTATGGTTGTTTAGTCCCTCCTCCTCCTTGTTTCTCTCCTTACTTTAGTCCATCAGCCTCCCTGCATAAATATATTTCCTGGGAGCTTTTGTCCCCCTCCTCACCATTCTTCATCTTTCTTCCTTGCAGTCTCACACCTATGTGAACACAGGCAGCGGTGAAGAGGACATGAGGGGCCACCACTGTTTGCATGCCTTGCCTGAGGTTCATCCTCCTGTTTCCCATCCTAAGCATAGCTGCTCCCTGGAGGACCGTAATCCTCAGGTTTACCTACAGCCAGGAGAGGTAAAGTTTGTCTTGGGCCCTGTCCCTGGTTGCAGGCATCGGATGAAATGTGATGGCTTCTGCCGGCCCCACTGGGAATGTGCAGGCCATATCTGTACCCCCAACAACAACAACAATGAATGTAAAGATGAGTGCCTCACCCCTAAGTGTGTCTGCGAGAACATCAATGGCCTGCTGCCACCACGAGCTACCTTGCTTCGTCGGAGTGGTGGGCGCTTTAGAATCGCCCGTGAGGATCTGAATCCTCCCAGCTGCTCTCATCGCCGGACCACCCTCCTGCACTATGAGAATCTGCCCTCGTTGCCACCTGTATGGGAGTGCCAGCCACCGAGACGAGACCAGGATGAGGAGGACTCTGGTGATGCAATGACACCTTCCCCCAATGATTATCCTGCACTTGAGGAAGATGATCCCTTGCAAAACTACGTGAATTCAGAAAGCGCTGCACTGCATGGGGGCCTGCGCAGGGGAGGTTGCTCACAACAACGCCACAACTGTACACCCAGCATCTTCAATTTCGACTTCCACCGGCCTTGTTTAGAGCAGCCAAGGCAGCTCAACTATATCCAGGTGGAACTGGAGGATGATCCTCACAAAGGGTGCCAAAGCACACCAGTCCCCCGTGCCCCACGTTCTTCTGCACACCCAGCCCGTAGGACGGATTCCTATGCGGTCATTGACCTTAACAAGACAGTAGCAATGTCCAACTTGCAGAGGGCACTGCCTAGGGATGATGGGACTTCCAGGAAAACACGGCATAACAGCACTGACCTGCCTCTCTAAGAGGAATGGCCAATCTAAGCACCGCATTGTGGCTTTTGTTCCTGCTCTTCAACTAAACATGTTGCTTATTTATCATCATCCCATTGCTCCCCATGTTTCCCAGTGTGACTCGCTGGGAGAGCTCCATCAAGCTAACTTGAAAAATGTAGCCTATCTGTGCCTCTTCCCAGCTCTCATCTCTCTTGCCGTGTGGATTTGAAGCCTTGCCAAGTGGTTGAAAACTTGACTTGCTTGATATGAGGGGGGTAACATTACTGAGGCTACTTGTTCTTCTCTCCCTTGCCTGTTTATATAGGAATCATGTTTGAAATCCTTCCTTCCCATTTTCATGGGATCGTCTTGAAGGCTCACCTAGTAGGCTGCATAACGGAGGGAACAAAAATGACCCCAAAAAGTTGATGGTACAGTTACAGCTTGAGGACCAGGGAGCACACTATTTAACCCTTTTAATTTTGTGAAGGAATGCAGAAAATATTTTTAAATGTGTTTATTTATTTTATCTGTTTTTCAGGGTTTTATTTATTTATTTATATGTCAGAGTTAAGTGCCAAGCAAATTTAGAGTATAACTGCTTTGCAAATGTAAATTATAATTGTTCATTTTTTCTGTGAAAGTGCTGGGGCGAGAGGGAGAGTGACAGCGCTGAATCATATCCACTTGATTTGACAGTGGCTTTTGAAGGCAAAACAGAGGCAGAAGGACAGAAGGAGATGCAATCTGGCAGGGTAGCATGAATCTTTTGGAGTAGTCTGGAGATAAACATCAGGACATGGTCCTAGGCCCATATACCCACAGAGATGGCAACACATTCAGGCAGACTGAACCATTTAGCTCAAGCTCCTGCCTGATTGTGTGCATGTCTCATTATACACCTGCTCCATTTTCACAACAAGAACATCATGAAACTATATATTGCCAGTCCCTATCAAAGCCCCTGATGGACCTTCTAACAGCTATTTACCTAATAGTTTAGTTGAGCTTTTCTGAGAAGCTAACCCTTTTATAGACTGAGCATGAAAAGGATGTTGTTGCAGGTACGGCTCCTGTCACGTGGAGCCCCCTCCCCTCCGCTCCTTTGAATATGTTGCTGGATTCCAACTCATCAAGTGAATAATCAGCTTGATGACTAAATAGAGCATTTTACATAAACTTACTGACAAGCATGACTTCGTTCAGCTGAGGCTGCCAGAGCTGCTTTAGATTAAAACAGTCCTACAGTAGGGAATGTGTACATGGCATCTTTTCTCCCATTGCTTCTCTTTTGCCCCAAGAGGCAGCCCTTCCAAGAATAATTGTAACTACCTTGCAGATAAATATTAAGGCTGTCCTAAGAGGTTGTTTGGCTTTATGGACTTTTTCTTAAGCCACTAGAAAAACTCACCATCTATTCCTGATCCCCAAGTCTTTACTTGATTGGGAATTGGGAATTTTCTTGGTTGCAAGCTGTGATTTCCACTTCCCCAAACCATGCCTTGCTGACTGTGCAGAATTTGTAAATGCAAAGGGGGGGGGGGATTGTCACCCCTGAGTTATACTTCCAGTTTTTCTTACCATCTCATTGTTGTTGCTTCCTGATTCCTAACACATTTAATGAATTTCTTTATGACATTACTTGTGTTTGAAGACCACAGTATTAGATGTTGATTTATTTTAGATTTCTACCTCAGCCCATCCTGAGGAGTTTGATGGGTAGTAGTACTTGACATAACAAGTTCAAAGAAACCAACAATATAAAATGCCTGTGATGGTCTCCTACTTAGTATACTCCATTCCTGCCTAATCTGCATTGAAAGTCCACTTAACAAGAAGATATTACAGAATTTCTGGGAAGTGGTCAAACCTGGGGTGGTATGCATCTAGGGGTAGTTTTTTTTAATGTTGTATTGCAGGACTCTGTCCTCCTTTGTTCTTGGTGAATCATACTTCTATGCTTAATCAGGGCGAAGGGCCATAGTTCAGTGGTAGCATACATGTTCGACAAGCAAAAGGTCTCATGTTTAATCCTCAGCATCTTCAGGTAGGGTGGTGAAAGATTCCTGTCCGAAATCCCAGAAGCCACTGCCAGTCAGTGTAAATGATAATGAATCGAATGGACCAAAGATCTGGCTCAATATAAGGCAGCTATATGTATAGCCTAACTGTGTAAGACTGTGTGATAGGCTGCTAAACTGAAGCTCTGCTCTTGCCTTCCACAGCAGCTTTCCAACGCAGAGAGGTTAAAGGAAAGAGGAAGAATAAGGTCATAAGTTAATATTGCTAGGGCTTCTTCTATTGCAATGTGGACTGCAGTTAAGGATCACAGCTGTAGGTGGAAGTGAGCACCACAGTTACAGTGTGGACACCAAGAATGCCATTCTGTGGGTCCTTGAACAGTATAGTCAAGGTGTTTGGATTCATCTTAAAGATCACAATGAAATATAGAGATATATGGTAAATATGTGTTTGGGCTCTGCTCCTGACTATGGTAGAGCTATGGTACATTTAAGGGTCCAGATATTTCTTTCTGTTGAAGGAGTATATAATGTGAAGATTCATTGCAAGCAAACTGGTGCAAAGTTTGTTGTTAAGGAAGGGCTAGTTTTCAGTAACCTTTCCCTTGTATCTTATTGGATGCTATCACATCAGTGACTGTGGCAGGAGGAAATGGGCAAACCACCAAAGTGAAGTGAGTGATTGCTAATGCTTACTGTTCAAGCACAGGGTACTGTTAAGCTTTGAGCCTAAATAGTATATTTTAATTTCAGTGAGCCGCTTTGGGCTGTGAATGTATTTTAATTCTTCTAATTGCTGTGCCACAAATATGGTAGAAGTTGATCAGCAGATTTTATAGAAGGGTGGCCTCCCATGCACATTAGACCTTCCTTTTGATGTCCTCTCTTGTCATAGAGCATCTAATGAGAGTTTTTTGAAACCAATGGAAGGATCCTGCATCTTCTGTTTACTTTGCATTGATTCAGCACATATACATTATTTGCCTGTATCAAGCTACTGTGAGCTATATTCAAAACCTGTTATTTTTATAGTGTTTGAAGTGCCCTTAGCAGCAGGTTTGAGTTTATGCATTCACATGTTGCTCATTATGGAGCATGAAATGTAGGTTTGCTTATAAATAGGTAGTGGGCAGGCCAACACAAATCCAGAATTGTGGATCAAGCTATTAGATAGCATTTAACCACTGTTCAGCTAGCCAAATTTTCTGCAGCAAACCTGTATAATTTGTAATGTATGATGTCTGAGTTACAGGTTAATTTAATGTGGAGAATGAATTGCTATTACTTCTTTGGATCTAATGACAAAGTAGACATTACCAATTCCCTAGGTAATGCTTGTTCAAAACTAAAAGGGAGACAATGCCAACAGGAAAAAAGTTTTTCCTGGTTTTTGTCTTAAATTATGCTTGCTCTGAGTGATTTGCTAAAAAATAATTGATGGCAGAGAAGTTCTAAAAAGTTAGCCTTTCATTTATTTCTTACAGACAATGGTCTGTGTTATCCAGTTCTGTAGCACAATCAGGACTTTTTCAAAAATTTTACTCTATGGATATATTCTTGCACCTAGATTTCTTGCTGCATGGCATAGTCATGATCCCTTAAAGTATGCATTGCTCATTTTTTAAAGTACTAAGACACCTGGTACACTTAAAGCAGCTTCAAGGGTTGTAGAGAGTGAATCTGACACAGTGGAATAATTGGAGTATGCTGCCACCTAATGTTTCCTTTCATAAATATGTGCCCCTTGTTAATTCTTCTCAGTAGGCCCCTCTCACTGCAATTATTTTTTGGTAGACCTATAGGTGCAGTTTGCAAAGAATGCGAACAAAGAATGTGGTGCCTTTGACAAACCTCTTTGACTAGGTAATGAAAGGTTGTCACTCGTTGCTTGCTCCCTGATAGAGGCTTTGTTGATTTGATGTGACCATCAAATCCAACAGGTGCAGCTTCCTCCCATTATAGAGATGTGCTTTTGGAGCAAGCTATGCATGTGGATTATCTCCCTCTCCTAGAACTACAAAGATGCAGGAAACTTTCTCAGAAATGCCAACACAAAGGAGCTAGTAGAACTTTTCTTTAGTCCAGCAGTAATTCTCCCAGCTGCAGGGGGGATCTTTCAGCACTTCCACCTCAGCCGGGAAGGATTTATGAAAACCTGTAGCAATCTATTTAATATAAAATAGGGCAAAATAAGTCATACGAGTTGGTACTTCAGTTCAACCTGTGGCCAACATCCACTAACTTCCAAGGTATTAGATTCAAGTAATCTTCATTGTTTCGAATTTATTTTAAAACATGGTTTCCTTGTTTTCTCATCTCTGTGTCAGCCTTCAGACATTGGGTTGCCTTTTATCTTTGATTTGTGCATTTTACCTTGCTTTTGAACAACCATTTTCAGAGCAACCATGTTCATGGGTGTGAGTGGTAAGGATATTTCCCCTCATTTGCTACTTTATTTATTAAATTTCTATCCCGCCATATATGCCATATAAGCCTTAATAGTAACAAAGCAAGCAAAACAGAAAGTACTGTGGCCTTTTAGGTAAACTCTACAAACCTCATGGACTTAAAGGGTTCTGTTAAGCATGATACTGCCCCATATCTGGATACAAGGTACTTAGCCTAAAGGGATAACCTGCTTTTAAAGCCCCATCTGGTGCTATCAGAGGGACAGTTTAATGAAATAAGATGATTCTGCTGTGTATGAAGGCAGTGTCATTTTTAGACAACTTAGATTGCCATGTTTTTCCCCTGACAGAAACCCAATGCCCTTAACAGCATTGTAGCAGGCAAAAATTAACTCAGTACAATTTTGTCTATCCAGTAACATAGAAAGTGGTACCTGTGTATTACCTGTCACCTGCCAAATACATTGAGCTTTATGGGGGAGTGAAGGAAGTAAAATGGCAACCTTAGACTAAGCCTAGTGGTTTATTGCTTCTGTGCTGTCATTCCCATGTTAGTCTGCACTGTCTTTGGCTTTTAGCACGGCAAGGATAATTTGCATCAAAGAGAGTTTCTCAGCTTGATATTTTTCACCCTTTTTAAAAGGCTTTCAGTGGTAAACACCCCTCTTGCACAGATTGTCAGACAACTCTGTTTACAGCTGCACTACACACAGGACATCTCATAAGTCTGGAGCAGAAACTGCAACTCAATGAATCCATTAATTGGTGAAGCTATTCAGTTTACAAGAATATGATAAAGATTAACTGGTGTTTACAAAGGGTTTTGAGTGATATAAATGCCAAAAATAGTTAATACTGAAGTTGTTATTCATATCCAATGTAAACCCTGGTTGGTCTGTATCTTGTTTTCTATCCAGTGTGAAAGGGCTGTCTTAAATATGTCTGATTCCCATTGCATGACAGTAGGTGCATCTGTACCTCTTCATCAGGGGGTGGTTTGCCCTTCGTGGAGGAAGAGGTAACATGTCTGTTGCATTGTGTTTGTACATTGTCTTAATATTGCCCCCCCCACACACACAATTTAACATGGGTTTCATATGTGTTTTTGCCAGTCTTGTATTGCATTAAAGCAGGGCACTACTGTATTTTAAACAGCTGTGACAGTGATGCAACATGCCATTTTCTTTGGATCCAGAAGAGGGAGAACTTGCATCTGCCAGTATTTTGACTTTTCTGTAAGTATTAAAGACATGAAAGCTCCGTCCCAAGGAAAGTATGGCCACCTTATCACACTGTCCTATTCTAAATCTTTCAGCTATGGATGTTATGAAATTGTCTAAATCCCCGCATTTCTGGAGAATGGTTCTGTTTAGGGGAAGAACTAAAAGTAATTAGACTATAGCAGTTACTAGGTATCATTCTGGGAAGTGTGAGCCACTAAGTGGATAGGTACATGGGGAAAAATCTGTTTACAAAAACAAGGTTCTATTTCCTCTGTACATGATTCATTTTGAAAAGCCCAGCTGTAGCTAAGGAGATCTCAAGCTCTTACCATGTGTAGTTTTCTTCACAGTTACTTGTACTGATGTCTTTGATGTTGACTATGTCTAATGTGGCGGGAACACAAAGGCACTTGGGTGTGCCCAGCTGCTCTGGCCATAACTGTTGCTCAGTAATTTTTATTTGATGGTTCCTTCTGTGTATCTTTGTTCATTTCTTCTTTGTATCTCATCCAAGCATAGCCTTCAAAGCGAAGAGCGTTAGCAGTGCCATGTGATTGAGGAGCGCTCGTGTCTTATTTTAATGTGCACTAAGAATGTATCCAAAATAAATTAAATCTGATGATTATCTTTTGGAAGGTGTGGCTTGCTTTGATTTGTGGACAAGAGCTGTCTAATTAGATTCTGACAATATCCCACTCATGTATCATCTCAGTCTTTGCATTCACAAAACCCTTTCCAATCTTAAAGTGGAGACTGTGTGAAATCTATTCTAGCATGGAGCTTGGCTGAATTGTTAGAAATGTAATGCAAGCATGTTGTTATTCCTAAGATCTAAAATAATGCTTTCAGCGAAGGATTGAAATTTTTAATGGTGTCTTATGTTGCACTATAAGCTAATAGGGGGGTTGGATAAACAGTTTATGGTACTGCTGTTGACTACTAAGGAATGAGAACTTTTGTCTTCCCAACTTCATGGTGGATTTCAGTAGTCACATTAGGGTAGGAACTTACTAAAAAGTTAAAAGAACTTATTAAAAACTTTTATGGAGTTCTTTGTAATTCCTAGTTGTCACAATTTAATGCTATTTGAAAAATTAAATATGAAAATCTGGCGTGGCTTAAAATACTGGGTTTCAAAGTGGGAAACCCAGGTATAAATCTCTGCATAGCCATTAAAGCTTACCAGACTGGTAGCCTTAAGCCTAAGATAGGTAAGATGCTATCTTTCATGCTAAGTTACAGAACTGATAAGCTAAAATTTTCTTCTGAGTTTTGATGAAGGGAAAAACACAAGAAATAGCTCTTGGCTCTAACATAAGGTAGTACAGAAAAATTGGAAACCTTTCCGATATTTTGCTTAGCAGCTTGAAAAAAAGTCCTAGCATGGTATAAACCTGAGCCAAGAAGATCTTGGCAAAGAAATGCAATGCAGACTAGATCATCAAGGCAACACCAGGAGATGGTGAAACATTTCCCTCTGGCCAGGTTTGCATGACACAGCAAGCCACAGTGGTTTTTTGTTTGTTTTTGTTTTACTATTGTTGGTCTATTGAATCTTCTCAACCCCCATTGTGGTAATTCAGAATGATACGTTTGATTTTTAGAAACCACAAACAGAAACAATGGTCTATTCAATGACATCTCAGTATCACAACGGCTTGTTGTGTTCCCTGAACCTGGAAATATAGGTCATCATTGTGCCAAGGTTAGAACCAGAGAGCCATTTGGCAAGAGTGGCCATTGCTGCTCTTGCCAAGCAACTAGCCAGAAAGTGCCCCAGCAGTTGTCATTTTGTGCAGCTGTCAGAAGCATGCCTGCTCTGCCCACCTCCTGCCCTGAAGACCAGCAATCAGCTGCTCAGCACTGGGAAAGCAGTGGTGCTATTCAGCTGATTCTGCCACCATTCACATTCCTGCTTGCCAGGGAGAGATCCTGAATCAGGTAACCTCTCTGGCAAAGGAGCAAGAAAGTGTGGGGAGCACTGCTTTTCCCTTCATTGCTGCCACTAGCAAGAAGGGCACTTGGGTGGGTGTTGTGGACACGTCTCTTGCAAGTGGGCACAAGAAAGGGGGACGGATGCCATCACCCCCTTCGCTGAAGCCACTTCCAACCCTCCAGCTTGCGTGGGTGCTGGACTGGGGTGCCCCTCTTGCAAGCAAGAATGAGAACAGGAGGTGAGTGAGGAATCTGCCAGCCAGCCAGGCACTGCCACCCAGCGAATCCTCACCCTTCCTGCTTGCTCATCTGAGGGGCTTCCCTCAGTCATGCACTGAAGGGGCAGAGGGGAAATCAGTGGAGTGCTGCTCATTTTCTCAGGCTCACCCAGTTGATTCATCTGACTTTGCAGTCCCCTGTGGAGCAGGCAGCAAGGATGCCTGAGCAACTCCCTCATCTGTCTCGTGCTTCAGGGCACGAGCCCTGTTTGTGCTACAGAGAACATTCGATGGCTTTGGCCTGCTGAACTCCACTCACAATCACAGCTGCCAAAAAGAGGAGCCTGGGATACAGCTGGGAGGACTGCAAGACAAGGAGATGGCAGGAAGGAGAGGAGAGTTACCACCATGAGCCTGATGATCTGTCAGGCACAACAAGGTAAAAAACTGCAGGCCATGGTAACCAGCATGCCAGTGTGGTGCTTAAAGCATTGGACTGGGCTCTGGAGATATGAGTTCTAGTCCCCCCCGCACTAGGCATTAGAAGCTTGCCGGGTGATTTTGGGTCAGTCACTCACTCTCAGGCTAACCTAACTCACAGTGTTGTTGTTGTGAGAATAAGATGAAGGGTCAGGGAGCTCTATAAACTGCCTTGGGTTCTTTGCAAGAGGAAGAAAGGTGAGATGTAAAATGTACCAATCACGACAATCACGGAGAGTTGCTTGTTACGATGTGTGATCCAAGCATCTGTGTTAGTGTTAGAAATCATTATAGGTGTCAGTGTAAATTGAGAAAGGCTTCTAAGTGGTGCCTGACTTAGCACTTGTTAGCCATTTTGCCTTCCTTCTCTTGCTGCCATCCAGGTCTGTTTCAGGGGCTACCCAGTATCAACACCTTTGGTTCAAAGGTATGCATTATAGGAGCCTTCTCTAACCTGTTTACCTCCAGATGCATTGGGCTAAAATTCCACAGGTCTTGCTGATGTCGGGACCTGAAGGGCACAGGCTGGGAAAACTGATCTACTGGGAATGGCAGAAAATGCCTTTATATTCCATGCAGTGAAACAAAACCACCAACACAAACCCTGAAAAGTTTCTGCATCATTTAATGAAGAACACTTCCAAAACTGTGTGCAAAACAGTCCCATAAAAATACATCAGAACCCTCCATTTTATATCCCATGTTCTGAAGTTCAGCATCTCCAAGGCAGTTTATAATTTAAATCATCATCATACAATACTTACAAAGAAAAGATAGAGATCACAAACAACTGGAACAATTCAATGGCAAGACGACAAACATGCTGCAGATGCCCTGGCGAAGAAACCATGTTTCTGTTCTTTCTACATTGAATAAGAATGCTTATTCTTACTTTTCTTATTGCATTGCAGTGGGACATATATTTTATCTGAATACAGGGAATCACTCTGAATCTGAACTGAAGACCAGAGTATTAAAAACTCAGATAAATGAGTATAGATTAGGTTCAAAGACTGGTTACTCTTTGGTTCCTAACAGTGGAACTGAGTTCTTCTAGATAACATCAAATCAGTCTGAAAATTAGTTGGGGCTTCAGATGCTTTCCATACAGACAAGAAACATACAGCGAGGTCACGAGAATCCCCTGATGCATGAAATCTTTGGTTTCTATTTCTGAAGCATGGAAGTAATTCATCTCTGTCAACAGACAAGTTAACACGGTTGCTTAGTTATCAGAAAATTCTAATATTTTCTGTTTTGCGTTTTCAGTTAAACAAATGTATCCTCCATACATCATATAGGTATTAATGGTATAAAGTCTTACTGGGAATCGATAAGCAGGAACTTTCTCACAATCTCTAAACATATCTGTTGCTTCTATACAGTACTGTTTTTCAGTAGATCCCAAACTGGATCACAGCAGAACAATTCAAGGAGGACAGTTCCAGAATTTCAACCATGATCTTTTGTCTTTTTTTAATGGTGGGGGAAGAGAGGGTAAAACAGAAAGTCTAGGGTTAGAATAGTACAGAGGGATACAAACTATAGGAGGGAAACCCTGAGAACTGGGTACCTTATAGAAGGGTGAGTTTAAAGTTTGGCGAATGGGGCGGCATAAAAATGTTTTAATAAATAAATAAATAAAATAAAATAAAGTGGTCCTGGCCTGAAAAAGCTGGAAACAACCAACATAAACATACTTTGGTAGAATTAAAGGAGTAGACAGCTACAAAAGCAAGTCTTGAAAGCACAAGTTTGACATGCAGTAACAGATGAAACCCTTAGAGAGGTCAGTCTGAAATGAGAATACAGACAAATTATACAAATTTATAAATTGGGCAATTGTAATTTGAACATCTCAGGAAGTATTTGAAGACGAATATTAGGATCCAGGGAATCCTTTAGTATGATGGTGCATGCAACTTCCTTATTGATCCAATTGATAAAGAAAGGTAATTTGTAGCCTATATAGTAGCTCACTTCCAGTGGTTGTCCTGCAAATCTTGTGAATGCCATTCACATCTGAGCACCTCCAATGCTGCATGGTTAAGTGTGCACAGTTTCATTTATCTTTCCCACCAGGGTTCTGTTCTGTGACCTTAAATTATGAGATGCATAGGAACTTGTTTCCACTGTATATCACATAAGATAAGGTTCCCTTTATGTGAATGGTCAAATATCTTTGACCATTCAAACTACAGAGGGCAATAACTTTGCCACGTGGCACATATGTGAACTAAACAGCAAAGCCTATCGAATTGAGCAGTACCAGGTATGCTCTTGTAGCTGCTTGTCTGGTAACTAATAAGCCTCTGGTTCACATTGACCTTTTAGTAGTGATTGAGATCTTTGCCATGGATAAGATTTCAAATATTTGAAGGTGGAGAAAGGTGAAAAGTGTGATGGAAACAGGGACCTTCTATCAAGCAGCAGAATTAAAAGCCTAGGGGCTCAGTCTATGAATATTTAGTAAAAAATGTTTCAGGATGGTTTTCTGTCTAAATATGCATAGGATTGCACCCTAACTATTCAAATGACCAGGAAAACTTCCAGAAGTAAGACAGCATGCTTAGACTAGTATAGTTACTTTTTGTAGCACTGGCTACAGAATAGGAGAATAAGGGTGCACATTTTCTCAAGCAAAATAGGTTAACACATCAAGAAGGGTCTTGAAATAGTGTGGCATTGGCATAGAACCACTGTACATATTTTGGTGTTTTTTTAAATACTAAATAGTTGCTCATATGTTTATGAGAACAGTACCCTATTTTTTATTTATACTGGGAATTGCCAAATCTACAGGGATATGGATATAATTCAATAGCAGTGCAACAACTTTGTGTGGAAGTGCTATTTTCAGTCCCTGGTATCACCAGGTAGGGCTAGGAAGGGCTTTTGTCTGAGATTCTGGGGAGCTGTAGCCAGTCAATGCCAACCATACTAAGCTACAAGTCTGGCCCAAGACAGTTTGCTGCCTGAGCTGAAGCAGCAATGATATATACCCTGCTATTCAAGTCACAGAATCCAAACCCAACCATGTTTGTTTGGTACGGGAGATAGAAGAGTCCAGAAGTACCTTTCCCTAACCCCATCCCTGGAGTTATAAATGCAATAATGGCAAAGTAAATAACTGAAAACTCATTGTACTTTTAGGATATGCCAAGTTCACTGCATGAGACTATAGGGTTGCATATGGAGATCTCAGGTTGAAATCTCCATTCATGCATGTATTTTCCTGAGTTACCTTATGCATATCACTCTTTCACAGTCTCAGGTAGGGCACAAATGGTTGGGAGATGAAAACTGGTGCCCAGTGGGGGAAATCACTGGCATACAACTGTATCTTAAAAATTTCAAATCCAATAGAATTAAGTGGTTGTCATATGTCTGCGCTTCTGTAATATACGACTGATGCCTGACTACAAAAAAGGCGTGGTGAGAGTGGTGGAGGAACACCTGTTTCAGATCCAGAAGGTCCCAGAAGATCTGAGGTTCAATCCTTGATATCTCTAGGTGGAAGAACTGGGGAGTGTCAAGTAGGTGATGAGGAGGACCTCTGCCTGACACCTAAGAGAATTGCTGTCCAACAGAATAACGTCTCCTCCATGCTAGATGGACACATGACTGGCCTAGTACAAAGAAAATCCAGTGCCCCAGTGTGCTTCAGCACAGGGCCATGGCATCCCACAGTCTAGTGTTCCGCCATGCCATAATGCTCATGATTACCATCACAGTCCGTGACCAATTCCTTCTCACCAACTGTGGGTCTTTTCTGCTGTAATCAAAGAATCAGACTTTCCATTTGGGTTGCTTCGGTATTCCTGTGGGACTGGTACCCTGTTGATCAGACTGTGGATGGAAAGAGTGAAGATCACATGACTGATTATGGCCATGTATTTTTTTCATTCTAATCAAAGATCCACATGCAGACTTTTCCTTCCAACTGCCCTTGAGAAGGTGTGCAACCTAATAATCAGTATGCTCAAACAAGTGGAGCAACTGGAGACAGTTTTCAGGGTTGATGTGTCTGGTTAGTTGTGTGTATTTTGGGGTTAGAATGTACAGTGATAAGAGCCAGTACCAACCTTGGCGCCCAAAGCTTGGCCTTAAAATAAATCTGTATTCACTTGTTTTGATTTTTCCATGTTCCTTGGAATAACTGCAGTATGATATATTGTTGACCCATTGATAAGATTTTGATGTGTGACTTTGTCGCATGTGGTGGGTGGAGGAGACTGCCTCATGCAGGGTATATAAGAAGGGACCAGGGAAAACCAACTTGCACCTGGTGTCATACTAGAGTAGCCAAAGAATTCACTTTGGAAACGGCAGACAAGACAAGATCACCATGAAGTGGCTGATCCTTGCCCTGGTGTGCCTCCACCTCAGTGAGGGGGCTGTCATCAAGTAAGTATGGCTTAATGGCATGAAAGGCTTCCCAGTTGCTCCGCGGTTTTGCTTGTGCCTGGTGGGCAGAGCAAAAGGGCAGACATGGTAGGTATTGGATGCATTGGCCATTTGGATGATTGCTTGCATGCATTCTGGACCACTTTATCTTAAAAAAAACCCCAGATTGCATGTCAGCCAATGGGTGATTTGAAATTAGACTACAAATAATAAATAATTGTATAATAAATAATAAATATGTGGGCCAGTAAGTGATGTTCATATTGCATTTTGTTGTAGAAAGTAACAATCTGTTGTCTATTGGCTACGTTTCTGATTCAAAAGAAAAGAAAAAGATTCTGATTCGAAAGTAAAGAAAAAGAAAAGAAGCAATTCTGTTATTTATATTTTAGAATCTAATGCCCCAGTTGAGCTGAAGATATTATGATGCATAGCTCAGTCCTATCCACCTGTATTAAGTCCAACTGTGTTTAGTGTGCATAGTGGGGTTTAGTCCGCAGTTAAGGAAGGCATATGGCATTGCAGCTGGAGAAAGCAGCCCTGTAGCTGCTAGATTTCCAGATCCAAGATCAGAGGCAGCATGCCCACCTCAAAGGATGGAAACTGTGATCTATCCTTCCTCCTCCACCTTGTAGTTGGTGTGGAAGGAAATGCCTTTGCGAAATGGGTGAAAGCTCATCTGGTACAGAGGTAAGGAGAGGGAGGTGAAGTGCCTCTGCTCCCACCCTGCAAAGGATAAGCATATACCCCAGGGACTCGGGCTCAAAGTGCAATCTTATTGCGAGGGTCACTTAAAACCAATGACAGTAGTTAGATATGATGAGCAGCTTGTGCCCTATTGCTTTCCAGTTAAACGACAATCCCGTTACATGCTTAACTGCACATTAAGCATGTAGTTACTTGGAAGCAGACATGCATAGGATACAGAAGCTAATCATGCCTACTTTAGTTGAACAGTGTGAAGCAGTGTGAAGAAGTATTTCCCTTTACCTCCATGGGCTAACACCACATGCTAGAATGATCTCCTGTCTACTTTTTCCCCACCATAATTCTGTACATTTCGATCATTTATTTTTTTCTAAGTTAAGAATCCAGATGTTGTCCCTGCCTTATAGGGAAGTGACTCCAGCCTGTCGATCATTTTGATTGCCCTTTTGTTCACTTTCCCCACCTCTACAGTGCCCTAGATTTGTGAGTGCCTATCTGTTTACTTGGGAGGAACTAAATGAAATTGGCCTCAGTTCAAAATCTATGTATACATGGCTGTGTCTTTCATTTGTATTTCTAGTGAGTTGCAAGAATGACATGTTAGAGTAATATAAAGAACTGCACTGATCCCTCCTGTGTGGGCTTCTCATCATAAGAACAGCCTTGCTGTATGAGCATATTAGCACAATGATCCATTGATTTCAGCATTCTTGCTCAGAAGTAGCCAGTCAGATGACAGAAGCCACCGAGGAACAGATAATGATGCCAGCTACCCTTTATTTGTTTGTTCTCAGCACTTTGCTACCTGTGCATCTGGGAAAACATCAGTGTCTTTGGACACCTTAAATACCCATTATGTTTTGCTGCAACTCATTGTGATACTCACAGTATGTCCAGAAAGGTGCTTTCCTTTGGGGATCATAACCTAAATAGACAAAGGCATGGAAGAAAAGGGAAAGATAAACACAGGATCCAAAATGGTTCAGTTTGTGTTTTGGATCAGCTGGATAGGTTGAATAATAAGTACGCCTTCATGATGCACATGCAGGCAGGGAAGAGACTTCCAAGTTCGCAGAAGATAAGGTTGGCTCCTGTGTGTGCATGGAAGGCGCTGCTCCTGTTTTTACAAGCACTGTTCTCACATTTCCAGTGCATGATAACAACACAGCGTATCAGAATGTGTGTAATCATTCAAGTTTAGGATGTTGGATTAGACTGACTCTTGATGGAATCAGAGGGTAGTCAGTGTAATTGGCCAAGGTATGCTATACAGCAAGTCAGAAAATGCAAGTCTGAAGGTAGTATCCCACTAGGAGTACCCATGTGGGAAGAGCTTGCAGCTGTCTTCAATCCTCTGCCAAAATCTCTATCCCATACAGAGTTCCCCTGAAAAGGTTCAAGTCCATGAGGGAGGTGATGAAGGAGAAGGGTGTCCTTGAACACTATGTCAAGCACCACCATTATGATCCAGCAAGCAAATACTTCAATCAGTTTGCCACAGCATATGAGCCCCTGGCTAATTATATGGACGTGAGTATGACTCTTCGAGAAGAACTGCCATGATTATGGAAAGATGGACACTGCAAAGAGAACTAGCTGAGATTTCAAGAAAAGCTTGAGGGAATCAGGAGCCCAATCCTAATGGAATGTCATTGCTATGTCTTAATAAGGCAATACTGAAAAACAGGCAGTTTACCTTAAACTGTAAGACATGGGTCCTCAAACTATGGCCTGGGGGCCAGATCCGGCCCACCATGCCCATTTCTCTGGCCCGCCATGCCCATTTGGACCTGCCGTGCGCATGCCCACGCGCACGCCTGCTGCTGCCCACCTCGCCATGCATGCGAGAGGCCGTGGTTTTTTCGCTCGGAGAAAATGATCTCTGAGCAAGCAAGCCGCTGCCTCATGTGCCTGCCTCATGGCACGTGCCTTCCCTCGCCTCCCCTCGCTGTGCACGTGCCCACCCGCACACGCTGCCCCCTCACTGGCCGCACGCACCACCAGGCACCACCTTTCCGGCCCGCGCCCAGCACCAGCAGCTTCCAACTGACCTCTGGTGGAAAAGTTTGAGGACCCCTGCTCTAAGAGCTGAATTATGGTCCCAGTGGTGCATAGCTCTAACTTAAAAGAGATGGAAGAGGGTGGGAACTCAGAGGAGGGAGATGTACCTCCTTTGAAATCTAGCAGGTGACTGAGGCTGAGCACAATCATTCCTATATGGGCATTGCTAAACAGTGAACGAGGCTTGAGAAAATGGTCATATTGTGTGTTACTAGTGAAACAGCCATATGAACATATGGTGAAGAGCTACCAGAATCGTGTGGCATGAACTCATGTCTCACTAAAGCCTCCAAATCTGAAATGCATATTTCTTTCCTTGAATAATGCTATCTGCTCACAGAAGACATCTGATAATGGTAATTTGTCCATTTTTTGATGGATGAACACATAACCACAAGCAGCTTCGGTTTCTTCTGTGTTGCAACATGTTCTACTGAATGTGCTCAGAAGGTACGTGGCAAGCAATGAGGGGAGGCCATTGCTGATGACAACATCCTCTTTTCTCCAGATGTCCTATTATGGACAGATCAGCATTGGAACTCCAGCCCAGAACTTTTTGGTTCTCTTTGACACTGGGTCGTCCAACCTCTGGGTGCCATCTGTCTACTGCCAGAGTGAGGCCTGCAGTGAGTATCCCCCACCCCAGTGTAATGGGGTGAACAATGTTGTGTGAGTCAAGGAGACGGCGGTCCCTTTGGTTAATATTTTGCTACTAGCCAGTGGCAACTTCAATTTCAGTGGTGGGCAGGAAAAACCTGGGAAACATAAAATTACCTAGCTTTAGGGTGCACGCAAAACTGACACTTTTCTGTCTTTCTCAATTTCCCACATTAGCAAACCATCCATTATTCGACCCCAGCCAGTCTTCCACGTATTCCAGCAATGGCCAAACCTTCTCTCTGCAATATGGAACTGGGAGTCTCACTGGGGTGTTTGGCTATGATACTGTTACGGTAAGTAGGAAAGAGGAAAGGCATTTCTTTAATCAGTTGTTATGTTATTCTGGCAGTTTCTTTCATTCGTTCGTTCGTTCGGTTGTTTGTTCATTCATTCTTGAGCGTTCTTGGTTTTCCTGTGCAAACTCTTTCCTACCATTCCCTTCTAGATCCAAGGCATTTCAATTTCAAACCAGGAATTTGGCCTGAGTGAGACTGAGCCCGGCACTAACTTTGTCTATTCCCAATTTGATGGTATCTTGGGGTTGGCCTATCCTTCCATTTCCGCTGGTGGTGCCACCACTGTGATGCAAGGGCTGCTGCAGGAGAACCTTCTTGATGCTCCTGTTTTCAGCTTCTACCTGAGTGGGTAAGCATGGAAGCATTCATTTTTCCCTGCTGTTACCCTTTAGCTTCCCCTCACTCTGCTGCTATCCCTATACATATTTGACTAGCATCCACTAACAGCCATGGTCGTGTTAGCTAGGTGTGATGTGCTTGGAAGTCCAACATACCTGAAGGGCTTTGGGCTGAGGAAGTCCACTTTAAATTACAGATTGGAGGCCTAAAAGATGCATTTATTCAGAGAATAATTTACAAAAGAAATTAGATATTTATCGATGCTAAGTTCCTGGTTGATGTGGTTAATATGTTGAACATCTAACCTGTGAAGACTGACCTGTGAGAAAGTTTAGTCCAACACTCCGAACATGACTCCACACTGTCTTTGCTGATAGTTTCTGGAGACATCAGGGCTCTAGAGTGGTTGGCCGCACAGCTTTGGTGACTTAAATGCCCAGTAGTTTAAAAACAAAGCAGGACAGACCTTTGTTACTCTGTGCCCAGCACCTTCCATATTAGAAGTAGGCAATGGAGACATTGGTGGGCTCTTGTCCCTTTCTAGGTTTTGTGCTGTGTTCTGTCCACATGTCTCAGCAATGTGACTGTCTCAATAGAGATCACAAAGTGCTTTTTCTGTTGTTCCTTTGCTCCATTAGGCAAGAGGGCTCCCAGGGTGGTGGTGAGCTTGTCTTGGGAGGTGTTGATTCCAACCTATACTCTGGTCAGATTTTCTGGACTCCAGTCACTCAAGAAGCTTACTGGCAAATTGGGATTGAGAGGTAAGCCCAGGCTCAAAGATAATTTCAAGAGGCTGTCTGATGAGAGATCCTGAGAGGCTTGTCCTCAAACACTGTGCACAATGGAGGAACACCATGACTTGGTGGAAGAGCAGATGCTTGACCAGCCCAATCATCTTCAGGTAATATGGGAAGAAAACCCTGCCTGAAATCTTACAGCAATGCTGACATTCAGTGTGGATGATGCCAGGCTAGCTGGACATACCAACTGCCTCAACATAAGGCAGCTTCCAATATTCCTATGTTTGGAAATGGGAATTTGGATTTGTCGAGTAAACATCTTTCCAGCAATAGCTCAAGGGCAAGAGCATCCTTTGCTTTAAAGCCCAGCTGAATATGGTAATGACACTCAAGTCCAAATATATTCCCAGCAGTCCTTTGTTGGCTTTTGTGCTGCTTCTTGTCCGTGAAACCACAGAGATGAAATGAGATTAGTATAGCCAAATAGCAAACACCTGAGCAGGGCATCCACCCTGCTTTGGTTATGAGGCACTCATTTTGCATCAAAGAAAGACCATGGCAGCCCTAAAATCACCAAATCACCAAAGCCTGTCAGCTTTGGTTTTGCACCATCTTGTGCCCCCTGCTAACAGAAATATGCCTGCTAACATCTCCACAATTTCTTATCCCTAGTTTCTACATTGGCAACGAGATCACCGACTGGTGCGGTCAAGGATGCCAGGGGATTGTGGATACTGGAACATCCCTTCTCACTGCTCCAGGGCAGATCTTTGCAGAGCTGATGCAATACATTGGAGCCCAGGAGGACAGCAATGGCGAGGTAGGGGAACGCAGGGTTCAAGGGGAGGGCCTGACACCACTCACCTGAGAATATGAAAACCTAGCACAGGGATTGTCCAATCCGGCTGTCACACCTGCCTCAGGAGGCCACACACTTTCCTTCTGACTGCTGATTTCCTACCTTTTCACACCCACTTCCCAAGGAAACACAGAGGAGAATGCCTCTCCTGGGGGTCAGTTACTGGCAGCAAGAGCTTAAAGTTGTAACATGCTGGCATGTTGCAAGTATGCATTTTTCCCTGTCCCTGTTGCTTTTGATGCCGTCCCATTTTGCCTTCACCCTCACCCAGCAGAAGGTGGACCTGGAGAGTTTGTCCTACTGGCTTTGGCATGAAAGAATTTTGGCATCCTCAGCACGACATGTTCTTCATGACCCTACAGTTTCAGTGTATCAGAGAAGGAGTCCAGAGCTCCTCAGAAGCTCCTTTAACTTAGGCAGGAAGTGAGGAGGGGTGGTGTCATCTGGAGGTCAGAACATTCTGAGATTGGTTCTCAGAACATCTGCACCCCACTGTTACGATCTAGGAAAGGGTGCCTTAGAATGAGGTCTTATGGCTCTTGGACTGTCTGAGTGCAGCCATGATATGAAATATGCTGTATCATCTGCCCTTCTCCTATTTCTCCCTCCCGCAGTATGTGGTCAGCTGCAGCAACATCCAGAGCATGCCCACCATCACTTTCACCATCAATGGAAATAACTTCCCTCTGAGTCCTTCTGCCTACGTCCTTGAGGTACGTGCTCCTCTTCAACAGCTAACGCCCCTCATGCTGGATTCAGACCCTGGAAATGGCCTTGTGGGTCTGCAGGCCAGGTCCATACACAGGGCCAGTTGTCCGTCCCACACACTGGTTTGTGGCAAAATTAATTTTCATGCTATATTTCAGATGAAAATGTCAAGGTTGTCTACATATAAAAAAGATGCTTAAAGCCACCTTTAGAGTAGCGTTAGAAAGTGCTTTCCACTCCAGGCTTGAGAGGAATAGGTAGTTCAGAAGCCGGTTCAGGATGCTGGCAGAGAATGCGCAATGGGGAATAATGTAACACCATTAAGCACTGCACTGTTTTTGCACACCCGGCTTTGGAACTGCAGAGCAAAGCAGCCTCTCTCTGGATATGGCCAGTGTTATGTTACATGCAAAACCACTAGTACAGTGCATAGATGCATTCATTCAACCCACCAAACATCAATATTTGAAAAGATGACAAATATTTACTCTCACATTTTGGAGGGTAGCTGTCTGGAAGCTACTGAGAAAAGTCCATGGAGGGTCTTGTGGCACTTTTAACCTCTTTAGTGTGCTGGTAAAGCAGTTCATGGACTCCAGTGCACTCTAGATGCATGCAATTATTATGGAGGGTGTCTAGAGTTCACAAAAATTTATGCCAGAATACAAATGTGTTCGTCTTTAGGGTACCACAAGACTTTTTGGTTTTGAATTCAACATTCTGCCCGATTTACACACTTTAAATATTGAAATTTAGGGTTTGCACCTGAAGTTCACTACTCCCAGGTTCTGTATGGCTATTATGCTTTTGAGAAAGATTTGTGCCGCTGAAGCGTTGTAACTCAGGTCTGTCCTTTTGCTTCACAGAACAACGGTGGTTATTGCAGCATTGGCATCATGCCTACTTACCTGCCATCCCAGAATGGGCAGCCTCTGTGGATCCTTGGTGATGTTTTCCTCAGGTCTTACTACTCTGTGTATGATCTGGGCAACAACCAGATTGGCTTTGCAGCAGCTGCATAAACGGTTCCAACAGTTGTGTCAGCTGCTTCAGGCTGAGTCTTGCTTCTTTCCCTCTGATTCTTCATGCTACCATGTTAAGTCCACAGGACTCCCGTTCTACAGAATTGAATGCTTTTACACTGTGAAATATGGAATCTCTTCCACAGAATTCCATGACACGAGTGGACTGAGCTTCACCCCAATGAACTGTAATGAAATAAAAGTGATACAAGCAATAGTTTGATCCATGTGAATTTTTGCCAACCTAAATCTGTTTATGAATAATGTTTGGATGAAATGTGACATCCTTCATTTTTTGAAATCTCAATATGAAACTATTTACTTGTTCCAATCTACATATGACTCAGGAAACATTTCAAATATTCACTGTAAAATTTCTTCAGATAATTAAATTGTCGTTATGGTGTTCTGGGACAGAGAGACCTCAAAGGAAATATTTGAGGAAAGGAAAACAGAAAATTCAGAGTTCCCAATGACAATTAAATGAAAACACTACTGTGCTTGATCACTCTAGTATATATAAAAAGTAAATGTATACAAGTTTTAAATCATGTATCAAAACAGACAGGGCACAATGGTTAATGCACACAAATTTACTGAGAAAACAAATATTTCCAAAGCTTATATGTTCTATCACACACAATATATCATTTCCAGTGCTTATACATTCTATCACACCTGTCAGTCAACTCCAGTGCAACTGCATCCTATCCAACATATTGGTCCAATGAAACCCGGCTGTAGGGAACCCTGACTGTTTTTCCTGAAAGGACCTTGGCCCCATTAGGTCTGCCAGCATTTTGCCTGGGTAGAGATCCAAGCAGATTCACAGTCATGCTGAAATCTGCACCATGCCCTCTGTCATTTTCCCTGCTTGAACTCCCATCATCCTTTTGAAGGCATCCCATTTTGACTGCAGTGTTTTGGCAGCTCTGGGGCTCTATCTGGTGACCAGAAATGGAATGGCCACTGTAATAATTGCAGGATTGGGCCCTGCTGGAGCTCTCAGTCGCCTGATGAGCACCAGCAGGAAGACCTGGGAAAAAGAGCTGTATAAGAGCAAGCTCTTACTTCTAGGGGCTGCCTTAGCAATCCGTGTCTTCCGCTAGCTGTGGCTCAGCACCTGCATCTTGCCTGACCCTTGCTGTATCAGGCTGCTGCCTTACCTGGGCTTGTCTTACTGCCTTGTCTTGCTTTCCATACCTTCTGCTGCTCTTGAACCCTGCCTAGTTTACTTAGTCTCAGGCACCTGCAGCCTTTGGCTTGCTCATAAAGCACACCCTTGCCTTGTTCTGCTACAAACTCCTGATTCCTGCCTTGATCTGTTTCTTGACCATGACTCTGCCTCTGGCCCAGCTACCAGGCTTGGAACTGGCCTTGCCCTAGGTCCTGGTCCCAGTGCTTTCATCTTGACTCCCGCTGCTCACACCCTGGACTGTGACATGGGGCCAGATTTGAACCATGATTGATCACTTAAGAGGTCTGCAGGTCTTGGGATTAGGCCTGGTCATATTTGATATGGCCTGTCGCCTCCTGAACCTGCTGCTTCCCCACCCACTTGAGTCCTGCTTTCATTCTTCAAGCTAATATCATCACTATTGGCTTACAATGTGATTGTGATTCCTAGCTGTTCTTGTGCCAATTCTGGCTTTCGAGGGCTGTGGCTGGCAGCTAGAGCTGAGACATGCAACATGAACCAGCTCTTTGGCTCACGGGAAGCCAGGGAGGGGTTAATAAAGGGGATATTTTGGTTGATGGAGGGAACTGGGCATGCAAAACTCACTGCTATCAATCAGAGCTCTTCCTGATGGCAAATGACAGTTGCCAGTTAAACTTCTCTGTTGCCCGAGGAGTAACACCATGCTACATGGCTTAAAGGATGATTAGAAAAACAACACTAGAGGATAAGGCTGTTCGTGGCAACCAGTCATGCTGGATGAATGCTACCTCCAAGATCAGAGGCGGGATGACTTTCAGTATCAGTTACTGGAACTTATGTTGGCTCCAGGTTTCTGAGGGCATCTGGACAAGGCCACCCACAATTGGCCCCCTTTCTCACTGAGTGTACTTTCTGGCCAGTATTGTTACTGTCGTGGGGACTGGGGTGTGGGTAGCCGAAGTCAAGACAGAGGAATTGGCACCAGGGCAAGCGAAATCAAGGTAGACAGGCTAAACACTGTCTGAAATTCAATAGTGAAGACTCAGAGGCAGAGTCATGTCAAGGAAAAGGTCAAAGTCAGGAACGGGGAGCATGTATTAGGGCAAGTCAGGAAGTGGGAAGAACTGGGAAGACAAACAGAGTAGGAAGTAGGTACCTGAGGCAGGATTACTAGGCTAGATTCAGGAAGCAAGGCATGGCAAGGTAGCAAGGAAGTAAGGTAGGGCAAGGCCAGAACTGGATCAAGCAAAGATCAAACATAATGCAAGCCATGGAGCACATGACCACATAGTAGACCTGTGCTGCTGAGGCGAGGCAGCAAGGCAGGAACCAGATCCAGCGAGGGCCAGGCAACATCGAGGAGCCAACATGCACCACTGCACACAAGATGACCCGTGTTGCTGAGGTGATGCAGCAAGGGTCATACAAGGCACTGTGTTGCCTCAGCTAGCAGGGAGGCCTGCAAGATACAGCAAGGTAGGAAGTAAACCACAGCTAGCAGGAAAACTTCCATCACTTAGACTGCCAGTGGAGGGAAGAACTTGTTCTTGTATAGGTCTTCCCCAAGTTTCCCAGCTGGTGCTCAACAGGAAACTAAGAGCTCCTTGCAGGGTCCGAGACTGATCCTGCATATGCTTCAGCAGCCATTCCAATTCTGGCCACCAGATGGAGCCCTGGAGTAGCCCAGATGCTGACAGTCACCAGCTGCTCTTCTTCCTCCCGCTTTCGCCTTGCTGGGGTCAGTTGTTTATTTGACTGGCAGAGAGCCAGTGAATAAGTAGACCGTGGCCTCCAGGACTGCCTCTTATCACAACAGTCATTGTCTGGACCAGAGCAAGAAGAAGGTGGACAAGCAGGTTGCAGAGATGAAGAGGAGGAGGGCCTGCTGGGATGTGGGCCCACAGAAAACGTCCACCAATATGAACATGAGATGAGCCATGCTGGATCAGACCAATGATCCCTCTATTCCAGCAATCTGGTCACACAGTAGTCAGCCAGCTGCCCACATGATGCAGTTGAGAGCCAGTGTGGTGCAGTGGTTAAGAGCCTGGGACTGGGACTCAGAAGATCTGGGTTCTAGTCCCCACTCAGCCTTGGGGCCAACTGGGTGACTTTGGGCCAGTCACAGACTCTCAGCCCAAACTACCTCACAGGGTTGTTGTTGTGGGGATAAGATGGAGGAGGTGAATGATGTAAGCTGCCTTGAGCCCTTTGTAGGAAAAAGGCAGGATATAAATCGGAAAATAAAAAAATGATGCCGCAAGCAGAACACGAGTGCAACTGTATGTTCCTGCCCAGGTCTCCTAGCAACCGATTGGCAAAGGCACCCTGCTCCTGATGCTGGAGGTAGCATATAAGCATCAGGACTGGTAGCCACTGATAGCCTTCCCCTCTTCAAATGTGTCCAAGTTCCTTTTAAAGCCATCCAAATGGGTACCCATCCCTGCAACTTGTGGCAGTGAATTCCATTGTTTAACTATACATTGTACACAGAGATACTAGTTCTTATCTGTCCTGAATCTCCCACCAATCAGCTTCATGAGATGACACCAGGTTCCAGCATTAGTGGAGAGGGGGAAAAAGCCCCCCTACCCACTATCTGCATACCAGGCACATTCTGTACACTTCTATCCGGTCTCTCCTGACTCACCCATTTTCCAAACTAAACAATCCCAGCTATTGAATACCTTTCCTCACAGTGGAGCTGCTCCAACCCCTTGATCATTTTAGTTGCCCTTTTCTTCACCTTTTCCAAGTCAACAATATACATTTAACATCTGGTGACCAGAACTGTACATGGTATCATAGGTGCAGCTGCACTGCACATTTGTATAAAGGCAGTATGACATTCACAGTTTTATTTTCAGTGTTAATTATGCCTTTCATGGAATTTGCCTCATCATGTCAATACTCATATCCTATGGCCATAAGTGTGCACTAACACACTCATAAAAGAGCAACAACATAATAAAAATAAAATTGTGGCTGTAATTGCATACTTTTGAGACACACACACACACACACACACACACACACAACACCTTGGGAATGAGTGCTATTTTGGCATCAGCACTCAATGGTAAGAGCATGAAAAGCAGCTGACATAGGATTTTTTTTTTAATTATTTTTTGCCACTCTTGCTGAGCAGCTCTGCTGTTGATTGCAACAATCCACGATCCATTTGTTTTCCTTGGTTCAGGCAACACAACTACCCATCATGGGCAAGGACAACCCTACAACGGTTCTCTGCATGGCTTGTTCCTGAAAATTAAGCTGCCCCACATTAAATCTGGGTTTGGATGACATGACAACTCACCCTAGCCTGGGCGACTCACCTGGTTGTTGTGTGAACCCAGTCACTGTAGTTCTGAGAACCTTGCAAATGTTAGTTTCTCTTTCCTTTTTGGAAGCCTGGGCAGGACCGATCTTCTACACGCTTTATGTAACTTTGGAGCCAAGGCAGTTTGGTCCATGACTCCTCAGGAGTTTGTCTCCTTTCAGGTATAAAATGATAAATAATGCTGTTGTGAGAACTTCTGGGTCTGTAGTGTACTGCTTGGAAAGCAAAACCCTGAAGTGGATTGCAAATTGAGCAAGCAAGCTCACTTCTGCATTCGCTATGCCCACGGGTCATTACACAGTGTTAGGTAGTGCTGCTTCCCAAGTTCAGGTTCAACATGGAAAGAAGCCAAGAGTTAATCTTGATATTTGTTGAACTCAAATCAAAATTGAACCTGTCCAGCCTTGTATAAGTACTCATCACTGCAAGTGTGATTATTAACTTGTCCTCTGATGTTTCTGAAGCAAATAAGAACAATTTTCAAGGAAATAGATTATGCTTTGGGCTATTGTTATCTTATCACTGATTCTCTGTATTACTTTGATAATAATTCAAAAAGACATTTAAATAAAGGGCACAAATTGTGTTTAAACTCAGTCTGACAAAGGAATTGGCTTACTATCATTAACAGCAAAGCAGAAACGTAGATCATACTGGCTGTGCATAGATATGGGAAATTAAGAGAACACAGATAAAGCAGTAGAGGACAATGGTTCTGATTATAAAACCTGGGGCACAGTAGCCAAGTCTCTGGACAGGATTTCTGACTTTTCTAGCAGATCTCTTTGGTCAAGATATTGGGCAACATGAAGTGGTTGATCCTAGTATTGGTCTATCTCCACCTGTCAGAGGGATTGCAGAAGTGAGTATCATGAATGAGATAAAACTAGAATCATAGAATAGTAGAGTTGGAAGGGGCCAGAGGGTCATCGGGTCCAACCCTCTGCTCAGTGCTGGACTCCTAGTTAAACATCCCTCTCAAATAGCATCTTGAATGCCTCTGGTGTAGTTGAGCTGACTCGGTCATTGGCGCTATTGTTGTACAGCTCTAACAGTCAGGATTTTTTTCCTGATATCTACCTGGAATCTGGCTTCTTATAATTTGAGCTCATTATTCTGTGTCCTGCACTTCAGGATGATTGAGAGGAGATCCTGGCCTTCCTCTTTGTGACAACCTTTCAAGTGCTATCATATCTCCCCTTGGTCTTCTCTTCTTGAGGCTAAACATGCCCAGTTCTTTCCATCTTTCTTCACAGGGCTTTGTTTCCAGTTCTTGGATCTTCCTTGCCCTCCTCTGAACCCTTCTCAACTTTTTTTTGCATGTTCTTATTTCTTAAACTGTGGTGCCCAGAAACGGACACAGTACTCTAGATGAGCCCTAACTAGTGCTGAGTAAAGAGGAACTAGCACTTCAAGTGGTTTGGAAGTGGTTTTTCTATCAATCCAACCTAAAATAGCATTTGCCCTTTTTGTAGCTGCATCACATTGTTGACTCATATTCAGCTTATGATCTATAACAATTCCAAGATCCTCTGCTCTTGCAGTATTGTTGAGCCAAGTATTCCTCATCTTGTATTCCTCCTAGGTGCAGAACTTGGCATTTGTCCCTATTGAATTTCATTCTATTGTTTTCAGCCCAGCACTCCAACCTATCAAGATCACCTTGAACCTACTTTTTGTCTTCCAGGGTATTAGCTCTCCCACCCAGTTTTGTGTCATGTGAAAATCTGATAATTGTTCCTTGTATGTCCTTATTCAAATCATTAATAAAAGTGTTGAAGAGCATTGGGCCCAGGACTGAACCCTGTGGAACTGCACTTGTTACAGTTTGAGAAGGTGCCATTAATGAACATTCACTGAGTCCAGTTCTGTAGCCAGCTGTGGATCCACCCAATATTTGTTAGATTAGCCCACTTTTTGCTAGTTTGCTAATCAGGATATCATGGGGCACTTAGTCAAAGCTTTTCAGAAGTCAATATAGATTATGTCCACAGCACTCCCACAGTCCATCAGGGGGTTTACCCAATCAAAAAATGAAATTGGATTACTCTGGCAAAATTTGTTCTTGAGAAATCCATGTTGGCTTCTAATAATTACTGCATTGTTTCAAGGTATTTGCAGACTGACTGCTTTATAATGTGCTCCTGAATTTCGCCAGGGATCGATGTCAGACTGACTGGTCTTTAGTTCCCAGTTCTTCTTTTTTCCTTTCTTGTAAATAGGGACTACATTAGCCCTTCTCCAGTCATCTGGCACTCCATGATTTCTCAAAGATAAGATAGTGGTTCTGAGAGTTCTTCTGCCAGCTCCTTTATAACTCCAGGCCCTGGAGGTTTAAACTCATTCAACTCATTCAACCCAATTAGATGATCCTTGACCATTTGCATATCAATCTTGACCTGCCACTCTATTCCTTCCCTTCATCAAGAAGGTCACAGATCTTTTGGGAGAAGACTGAGTCAGAGTAGGAATTGAACACTTCTCTTTGTCATCTGTTATCATTTTGCCGTCTACATCAAGTAGTTGAACTTCCATTTGTTTCCTCTTTCCTTTACTTGGACATATCTGAAGAAGGGTTTTTTGTTGCTTTTAGCATCTCTTACTAGCCTCAGTTCACTCCTAGCTTTAGCCTTCCCAATGCCATCCCTGTAATTCCATGCTACCTGCCTGTTTTCTTCCTTTGCAGCGTAGCCTTCCTTCCACTGCTTGTAAGTGTCCTTTTTTTGTTTTCAGATGATCTCTAAGCCTTTTATGAAGCCACATGGGCTTATTTCATTGTCTTGTACCCATTTACCTTGTTGGATTTGTTTGTAATTTTGTCATTAAAGGTAAAGGTAAAGGTTTCCCCTTGACATTGAAGTCCAGTCATGTCTGACTCTTGGGGGCAGGGCTCCTAGCCGAGGGAGCCAGCGTTTGTCCGCAGACAGTCTCCGTGGTCACGTGGCCGGCATGACTAAACACCGAAGTGCACAGAACGCTGTTACCTGCCCACCAAAGTGGTACCTTTTTATCTACTTGCATTTGCATGCTTTCGAACTGCAAGGTTGGCAGGAGCTGGGATGGAGCAACGGCGGACTCACTCCGTTGTGCAGATTCGAACCGGCAACCTTTTGATCAACCAGCCTGGCAGCACAGCAGTTTAAACCACTGCACCACCTGCATCCCCAATTATGCCATTACAATTTCCTTTTTAAAAAATCCCCACCTTTATTGGACTTCTTTTTTCATATCGGTCACTAGCCAGGAGACTTTACTTTTCATTGTTCTGAGTGTATTAAAATTGACTTCCCTAAAATCCAGGGTACATGTTTGGCCACATTTGGCTTTTACTTCTTTAGAATCAAGAATTCAAGTATGTTGCGATCACTTTCCCCCTGAGTTCCCACAGCTGCCACTTTGTCCCCTAGGTCTTCCCTTTTGGTTAGTAGCAAGTCAAGGATAGCTATACCTATAGTTCCTTCCTCCACTTTCTGTTGGAGGAAGTTATCAGCTACACATGTTAGGAACCTCTTGGAGGGTCCATGTTTGGCAGAATTTGTTCCCCAACAGATACTGGGGAAATCAAAGTCCCTCATAATGATAATGTTGTCTCTCCTTGAAACACTGGCAAATTGCTTTTCAAAAGTTTCATTTTCTTCTTCTTTTTGACTGGGTGATCAGTAGTAGACTCCAATCACTGTGTTCCTTTTATTCCTTGTTCCATTTGTATTAATCCAGATGTTCTTGATGGGGTTACTAAGCTCATCCTCCTGTATTTCTGTGCAGAGATATGAATAGTGCAACTCAACCTCCCTTTCTGTTCCGTCTCTTCTTGAACAGGTTGTATCATTCATTTGTAAAATTCCAGTCATAGGAATCATTCCTCCAAGTTTCACATATACCTATCAGGTCATATTCACCCTTCCACATTATGAGTTTAACTTTATGCTATTTGTTTACCAAACTCCAGGCATTTGTATACAGACATTGAAGACCATGCACTTTATACTCCAGTTCTCTTCCAACATTTTTTGGAAGACTATTATTAAGCACTCTTAGAACGATTCCCTCTGTTGTGGTTCATAAATCTTGGTTGTTACACCCAGGTATACTGCCCCTCCCCTGTAGGATTCAGTTCAACCTATTCATGCTGTGGCCAAACACATTCTTTCCAGTCCTTGTAAGGTGCAACCCATCCCTTGCCAGCAGTCCGTCTTCCAGAAAGTGTATCCTGTGGTTCCAGAATCTCATGTTGGCATCATCTTTGCAGCCAGGCATTCACTTGGAGTATTTTTCTTTTCCTGTCTTTTCCTCTTCCAAGAACTGGAAGGACTGAAGAGAAAATTATCTGGACTGCCAAGTACTTGACTTTCCTTCCTAAAGTTTCAGTCTGATATAATTTGTTCAAAGCTCTGCTTAGCAGTGTCATCTGTTCCCACATGTATAAGAAGGAAGGGATAGGTGTCAGTGGGCTGTATTGACAATCTATCAATTATACCACTAATCTGCTCTCCAGGGAGCCATGGGTCTTCCTGACCAACATGTGTTTCCATCCCATTTAACAGAGAATCTCCAAGATCGAACACGCTTTTCTCCTTGCTTTTGCAAGGCTTGGTATCATTGCCACTACTTGGTTTACCTTTAGCCTCTTGTTCAGTGTTACATGGGACGACTTGCAGTTCTTCTGTGACAGGCTACCCTCCAATTTCATCCTCAAGTAACTGAAAGTGTTCGATAGGCCCATTGCATCACTGGCCCAGAGTGTCTTCTAGTTCTCCTAGTCTTTCTGCACCTGTCCCCCTTTTCCAGGGAGTTTCCCTTCCCCCAGGATTTCCCTTTTTTGCCTCAGCTTGCTGAAGCAGTTATGGCTTCTGTGCTACTCTTAGCTGTTGCAGCTGTTGCTGTCTAAAAATGTTTATTTTATTATCTTGTGGTTCACCTTAAATTATGGCAGAATGCAACTAGGGGCCTTTAATGAGAAGGATGGGAACAGTATTGCTGAGGAAAGGTATAAAAGTCCTGTAAGTTGTTTGTTCAGGAGGCATGATTTGAGTTTTCCTGAATTACTCTGTGCTCTGCTTTGTTCACCTGAAAAAAGCTTACTAAAAACCATGTTTTGTCCTTAGACTCTTAAGATGAGCTATTGAGTCTGAGGTCCTCAGCTCCTGGAATCAAATTGGGCAACACTACCAGTAACTGGGGGTGGGGCGAGGGGTGTTACAAGGAAGAAAACAAAGGGGTTAATAACTTGGGAGGAAACTTTTTAAAAGTTAGGGACCTTATCTGCCAAACCCTGCCGCCAAATTCCTGCTGGCTCTCCCTGTTCACTAGCACCCTGGAAGCTTGGCTGCTTGTATCCCAGAGTCCTTAGACCAGCTAGGGCAGCTTCCTCTGATCTGTTCAGCAGGAGTCAGGAAAGAGAACAGACCTCTCCACCTCAGAGCTGTATCCCGTGGCCCAAGCCTATGCTTAACGTGTTCTCAGTTTCTCCCTGTAGCAATGAAGATCCAGTGGGGTAGAGAGGAGGAGGATGGAAGGGTTAACCAGACATTTGCTGACCTCCTGAGAACCTTGTGTCCTATACAGACTCATTCTGAAGAAAGGGAAATCTGCTCGGGAGATCATGAAGGAGAAAGGAGTGCTGGAGGAATTTCTGAAGAAACACCGTGTTGATCCCGGACTAAAATACCATCCGGATAAATTCAACGTTGTTTATGAACCAATAACCAATTACTTAAACGTGAGTCTTAAAACAATTGAAACATTCCTTTTGGAAAATGATACACTGATGTTTGAAATAAAAACGCATGATCAAAATGCATCTTAAGTAGATCTTGGCTTATTCTCTGAGTGGGGAGCATTCAGGATTAGGGGTTTATGCTGTCTTCTTTTGATTTGCTTCCTGCCTATTCACTGAAATATGCGAAACTGGTAATCCTGTATCCAGTTACTGGGGAGTAAGCCCCACGAAACACAGGGAGACATTCTTGCTTAAGGTTGCACTCCTAAGCCTGCAATTCTATACTCACTTAACCAGGGGCAAGGGCCATTGAATTCAGTGGTATGTCTGAATAGACACCTGTAGCTTAGTATTTTAAGAGCTATATTTCTGGATCCAGACTCCTGATGTGGCTTCTACCCAAATATTTCTGTGAACTGTTCCATTCAGCAGTTCCCACTGCCCAAGAGGCAATCCTCATTCTTGTTAATGGCTCATTTGTTCATCTGTGACAATGGATGAGCTACATACAGAGGGCTGAACTCTTTCTTTAAAATACTCTTTTTTAAACTCCTAGGGTGGCTCTTACAGTCATAGAAGAAGGTTAATAAAGAAATTTTGATTCTTTTCTTGCAAAGCTCTTTCTATTCTCTTGGAATGCCTCATAGTGAACCTCCTTTGGAAAAGTAAGCTACATTACTGAACCCTTCATTCTCTAAGTTGACCCTTTGACTTTCTCAGCTGGTGAATATTATATAAGAAAGCCGGGAAGGGTGCTAAAACTTAACAGTCTTGTGAAATATTCCATTCTTAAAAAATTATCCTATTGGGCAGACTTTCTACTTTGGAGAAATCAGTATTGGGACTCCACCACAGAACTTTCTAGTTGCAATGGACACTGGCTCTTCCAATCTTTGGGTCCCATCTGTGTACTGCCAAACTGCAGCCTGTGGTAAGTGCTAATTCCCCCTCCCAAACTGCAGAGAAATGAGGCACGATGAGGGTGTTGTAAAAGACTCAGCTAGAAACACTCCATGTTTCCTTCTTCCTTCTAGGAAACCACCGAAAGTTCAACCCAAATGCATCTTCTACATATACTGACAAGGGACAGACATATACCTTGTACTATGGGAGTGGTGATTTGACTGTCAGGGTAGGCTATGATACTGTGAAGGTAAGTGGAATTTGCACTAGGAGTCACCCCTCTTTGACTATTCTGCATTCTGGGAATCTTCAAATACCGGTCAAGTTAGGAAGAACAAACTGTTCCAAACCCTGTGAAGGGATTTCAACTCCCAGGGGGTAGGATGGTACTTGTAATGCACAGATGCTGCTGGCTATGTGCAACTACTGTGGTAGGCAGACTTGGCATCATGGTTTATCCTAAAGGGGGATTGCAGTAATGCCAAATAGCTTTATCCTGTCATCCGTCAGGATCAAGCTCAATATTAGGAAGGATGTTGTATGAGCCTGACTGATTGGTCAAGCCTAGTTTCACCAAGCCAGTTTTTATCAAGCCTAGTTTAAGGAGAAGTGCATAAGTTTTCCCAGAAGATAATAGGCAATTAAGTTAGTTCTGCTTCCATTTACAGTCAGTCCATCTGGTCCTGCCAGAGTGACCTAGTTTGCATGATCGTGCAGCCCATGATAGTATATCTAAGCCATGGCGGGACTGAAGTACTCATGGTACCAGGTTGCCAATTGCGCCTGTTGCAACTTGTTGTGTTAACTGAACCCTGCACATCCAGCTTGTTGGTGTGCTCATCCATGATCCTAAAATAGGCCATGGTCTTCAGTGGTTTGTTAACTGCCCAACAAGTCAACCTTGCTAAGGTTGGACATGATAAGAAGCCCTGGTTAATCAGGAGAATGAGCCAGAATGCAACTAGTGAGCATGGGGTGGTTTAACAAGAGTTATTAACTCTCGTCTTGTCATATGAACTGGGTCTCCCTAGTTTATATTACTCCTAAAGTTATGTGTACTTTCTACCCTTATCGGTGATACCTGAGTTACTTGAGTTATTCAGGGAGCCAGTGTAGTGTAATAGTAAGATTGTTGGATTAGAACACAGGAGATCTGGGTTCTAGTCCCCAGTTGGCCATGGAGGTGACTGGTTGACTTAGGCCCAGTTACTGACTCTTAGCCGAACATACCCAGGGTTTTTTGTGAGAACTCAAATTCAAATTAAAAATACATCCATACAACTTCTCAAGATTATCCTGTATCCAATTTTAAGTTAAATCCATTTTGCTTCCTTCTTTCCCAGGTCCAAAACATTGTTGTCCATAATCAGGAATTGGGTCTGAGTTTAAATGAGCCCACCTATCCTTTCTACTATGCCAATTTCGATGGGATTTTGGGGATGGCTTACCAATCTCTGGCAGTAGGGGGTTCATATCCTGTCACAGAGCAGATGCTGAGGCAAGGGCAGCTGTCTGAGCCCATCTTCAGCTTCTATTTCTCACGGTAAGATCCAAACATCCATAAAATCCAGAACAAATTTGTCAGATGTTAAATTAATCTGGAATAGTTGAAGTGTTTCTATTTTGAATAAATATTGAAGATCACCTAATACAAATATACTTAATGCAATCCCATCTTTTTTTACATCAAGGACTTTTCAATGAGAATGTTTTAATCCACTGCTTTTCTGAGACTTTTTTTTTTCAATGTGGGAGGGAAAATGAATCCTTCACAGTTTTTTTTCCTGGGGTTTGTATTTCCTTGCCTTTCTTCTGCAAGGTCTGCCTGCACTATAGCAAATTTGCAACTTCTTATGAGGCTTTTATTCCAGTATGCTGCAGTTTAAAATTTAATACCAAGTTAAACTTAATATTCTTAAACAAAGCAAAACTAAGCAACAGGAAAAACTTAAAAGGCTGGAAAACATGGTGAGGGCACTCTGGAGAATGAGAACGTTGTGAAAAAGCCCCACAAACTTCTATGAATCAGTACGAAAGCATGATAAAAGTCTTGTGCAGAGAAGTGGTGAAAAGAGACCTTTCCTTCAGCTTTCAAACACAGTCAGATCTTAGCTGAGTGAGTCTATCACCTTTGTTGAAACTATCACCTCTTCCTTGTCTTACCCCTGTCTTTTGCTCTCATCTATATCTGTGCATACATAGACTTTCACCAGCTTAATTGTTTTAGCTAACCTGGACTAGTTTTGTCCATCTTTTCTTGTCTTAAGTCAACCAACCGTTCAGTATGGAGGAGAGCTGATCTTGGGAGGTGTTGACAATCAGCTGTTCACTGGGGAAATCATCTGGACACCTGTAACCTATGAAATGTACTGGCAGATTGCTATTGAAGAGTAAGTGATATTCATAATTTCCATTTCAACTGTTGCTAATTGTGCTTTTCCATTGTGAACTCACATTGCTTTTCAGATGGACACACACACCTCTTTGGAACTATAGCTTTTCTGAAAAGGGGTGGGGGATAATCTTATTTGCATTCACTGCTGTAAAATATTTTGGTGTGTGTGTGTGTATTCAGGGGCAGGGAAAGGGAGTTATGCATTCAGCACTAGGAATGAAGCTTCAAAGAACTTGGAGTTTGATCTCTTTAATTTCAATAGACTGGTCAAATGCATTAAAATAATAAAACAATAATGAAATTCAAGTCTAGAAAAGAATTACATAATGATGGTCTCTGCTGTAGTGGGTCAAGGTACCTTCTCATAATCATGAGTACTTTTAAAAAAGCAGTTTTATGCAAGTTTCTATTAGCAAGTGGTACAAGGAAGAAACACTGACTTCCTAATTTTGAAGTCTATGAAATGGTGGAATTCAAGTTGTCCATCCTGGTTCACCAGGAATCTGTGAGACTTGTGCAAATACATTTTACAGAACACTCTAGGTCAGAATAAATGAAGAAAGCAGTGACCAATGCATATTCTGCACTACCAAGTGTTGAAACGAATATGGGACTGTATGTGGAGTACCTTTAACTCTAATGTATAGAGGCAAACCTTACATATCCATTAAGCATATGTTGCTATGCATTAATGTGCAACTTGGCAAAATTAGTAAAGGGGCAGAAATGAAGTGGTTTTGAAACTTCCTACCTCTGCCAAATCCGAACATCACAGTTGCAGTGTGTTATAGTATACTGTGAAGCATGAACACAACATGAGAATAGAGATAGTTCTGTACACAGACTTCTTTATACAGGATATATAACTCTTGGTCCGTCCTGCTCACTCTTCTCTCCTTGGATTGGAACCAGTTTGGCAGGGCCTCAAGACAAGGCCTTTCCTAACACCTCCTCATGTGATCCTTTTAAACTAGATGTGTGGATGTTACTGCTGGCATTTTCTTTTTCTCAAATTTCAGCATTGTCAATGGGAAGTTACTTGTCAAAGGGTAAAAGGTTCCAGCATTTTGGACTGTACCAAGATTTGGTTTTCAAAGCTTATCACATCTGAAGATGAGAAAGAACATTGAGTCGAGAAGTGATCTTCACTTTCTGGTTAAAATGTCCACAAGTGGCACTGACACAGAGTAAATTAACAGTTTTGGATTTTAGCTTCTGTGGAGTCTCCATAGTTAACTTTTATGTAAGTTCATGACCATAGTAATTGTCCTCATATCTATGGATTAAAGATCCACAAGCATCTAAGTTATTAATGTTAGAAGGCGTATGCCAAAGAACGGACGACTTATGACACTTCATATGTTTTGGTCTATAGCTCTCATTAGCCATTGCTAGCATAAGAACAGTGAAGGATGATAGGAATTGTAACGCTCCTGATGCTTTGGTCCATACGTTTCCTACCCATGGTCTCTGCATTTTTCTCAGCTTTCATCTGGTTTGTTCCTTTGTTGAAGATTTTGCCCTCCTGTGCTTTTGTCTCTAAAGATTCTCCGTAGGCAACAAGGCTACTGGCTGGTGCAGTCAAGGCTGCCAGGCAATTGTTGACACCGGAACCTGCCAGCTTACTATCCCCCAGCAGTACATGGAGAGTTTCCTGCAGGCTGTGGGAGTTGAGCCAGCCAATGAGGATGAGGTATGTGGAAGGGCATCTCAAACTACTTCTGCAGTTCTCAGGGAAAAGAGGATTGCTAACATATACCATCGGAAAATGGAGGTTACACCCAGGATAAAGGCAGGCCATGCTGAACGCAGGAGAGACTGTAATGCTAGATAGATATGAGCCAAACCTGTGAGTGAGGCAGACTGAAAAGCTGCCATGCTTGGATGAATATATGAACAATGTTTATATATTTTACTCTTGAGAATCTTTACACTGATTTTCTTTATTTAAAAGGACTTAAAGAACTGCTTCACATATTAGCATACGTATAATAAGAAATAAGGCTTCAAAGCAGCTGGAGGTTTTGTTCTCTCAGCTTTACTGTGCTGAAATGAAATGAGCCTATTTTGTTTGTCAGGTTCTCCTAGTGGGACAGAATCTATCAGGAATCTCTGTTCTGGTCTACGCAAAGAATTAACCGTACATTTACATTTTTTATAGTTGCTGGTTGACTGCAATAACATCCAGAATATGCCCACCATCACCTTTGTCATTAATGGAGCCCAGTTCCCACTGCCTCCCTCTGCCTACGTCTCCAATGTATGTATACTATATTGCTCACTGGTACATCCTTTAAAGCATGTTATTTGATTAATATTGCAGCATTTAGATTATGGCAATATCCTAGTGATAACAGGGCTCGAGGAAATTATTTCCAGGCCATTCTTTTCTCCTGACCTTTCTTCTCGGTCATCTTTTTGAGACCTTGTGTGCATCCATCATTGAGATCTGAATTATTTTCCAGGCTTTGCAAAACCAAAGATCTTCACCAAGATTCATCTGCCCCAGCTTTTATTGTTACAAGTGAAACTATGAGAAGCAGTGTATAAAAGCACTGTTTCATTCTGTCACTTCTTCCAGAGAATAGAGGGCACTGGCTGCAATGGCCCCAGTACTGGTTCTTTGTGCATTCCAGCCAGCTCTGAATGTGCACATGCAAGCAAGCCGGAGCCACCCTTGACCCCTTGTGTATCTGACTCTCATACAATGTCCTTGCAAACAGAGCATCTCCACAGTGATATGATATGATATGATGGGTAGCACTGGAAGAGGACTCTGGCTTCCTTGCCTTGGGATATAATCATGACCTGATTTCTATGACATTTTCAGGAAATGTTTACCTCAGCAGAGGTGGAACTTAAGGTGTCTTTTTTTCACAGAGCAATGGGCGTTGTACAGTTGCAGTTGAGACCACGTATGTGATGTCCCTGAATGGAGAACCTCTGTGGATTTTTGGTGATGTCTTTCTTAAGGAGTATTATTCCATCTTCGACATGGCCAACAATAGAATGGGCTTTGCACCATCAGCTTAGACCAGGGGTGGGCAATTAATTTTCCTATGGGGCCACATGAGAAACTTTGACAGTTGTTAAGGGTCAGACCAATACACTCACAGCTCTGCTCAATATATATCTCTATAAAAACAGTAAATGAAACATTACAATGATGCAATGAAAATGTGGAGCACAGAACAACACTATTTAATGAATATTCCCAAAAACATTAACATTACATGAAAAGCAATAAATTCAATTCAATTTAGCAGATCCTTCAAAATAAAAGCAGTTGTATTGCTTGCATCTATATTACGACGATATATATTTGCATTGACTTTTAATTTGCCAGTGACCTCATGCGGGCCAGTCAGGGTCAGCCATTGGGCCGGATGTGGCCTGCGGACCATACAATGACCAGGTCTGGCTTAGACAGTCCATTTCCTTTCCAGTCCAGTGCAGCTGTTCTCTTGGACTTTGATAGAATCATTTTATGTTACATTGGTAAAGCATATCTCAAGTTTCTTGTTTTTCCACAGACTGAGTGTCAAGGTTTGCATATGGTCAGTTGCAATGAGATCAATTGCTGTATATAAATAAACTCTGATATGGCCAATCTTTGCTTGTCTTTGTATTGTAATTTTGGAAATATTTTTAATCAATGTTGAAATGTTCAGACTGTTAAGCAGTAGAAAGAGGGAAGGAAAAGCTACCGGAAAAATGTGAGATAGAGAAGGAAAAAAAAGAAGGGAAGGACAAAAGAGGGCATGCAATATCATGCAGATGTATATTCACATTCAGTGAACAACCAGATAAATCTTATAGATGATGAAGATGTTATATTTCTATACCACCACTTAGCCATAAAAGGCTCTCATGGTGGTTTAGAATAGACATTAATACAATAAACAAATTACAATATAAAACAAGGAGCAAGAGTTCAGAACAAAGCAAAATCAGATCAGCTACATGAGGCAATGAACACAGCAATTTACAAAATTTCAGTAGAACATAATTTGTGGGATGATGGTGAGAATAATGCTGTAACAAATATTTTACCCCTCTGCAAGCCACTGTTTCAAGTCATTAGATGTTCTTTCAGATAGACAGAACTGAATCCCTATCCCAACCTTTTCTACTTCTGTATTTTTGTGTGGAAAGAAAAATACTGGAATAGTGAGCAAATATGGGGTGGTTATTAGTTCAGTTCCAGCATTTGCATTTTGTAAGTTTGCCCTTGGGGAAGGAACTTTGGTCTCTGAATGAGCAACATTCAAATAGACAAGTTTTCCTTTGGCACATACATGTTGTGTATTTGCATTTCATTTAACAATCAATGAATGAAATCGCCAGATAAAAGTCTTATCTGCATCCTGCATCCGCAGTCCCCAACATGGAAGCTGCAGAACCTGCTTTACTGCCCGCCAGTCTTCTGTCCTCACTTGGCTATTTAAAAATGTAACCAACAGCGGGGGGAAAAAACCAAAACAGTACACTGATATTCTGCAAAGCCTCTTGTCCCATCCTTATATCCAAGGAAATCTTTGGGATCCAGGTGGGACCCAGACTCAGTCTTAAAAATTATAAATGCAGCATGAAAAAATATAAATGATGTTTACAGTACCCAGCAGGGAAATGGTAATTGAGCTCATGATGGAGAATATTGGCAGGGAGTGGTATAGGGGATGGTGGGTTGCAAGGGAGCTGTTTAACTTGTGATGTCTCTATGCATACTGCCATATGGGGAACTACTGTCTTTGTGTTAGGTCCTTTTCCTTATGTTTTCCATTTTTGTGCTTTTGGTATGTGGCTTTTGGTTTTGCTGGTTTTTGTTTCAGTGTGGTATGTATTTTGACCAGGGTTTTGTGGACTGTCGTGTGTTTGTGTGTGTGTGTGTGTGCCTGTTTTTTGGTGTTTGTGTGTGGTGCAAGTGTCCTCTCCCCACCCCACAATTCTGGGTATGCATTTCATCACCAGCTTGCCTTCAACCAAGTGGGGACAAATATACGATTTGGCATTTGGTTCTTAGACCCTCATCAGCCTTATATTCAGTTAGCTGTCTCTGAGCCACACCAATTTTCCCTTTGCAGATGTGTGTTTTCAGGCTTAGGCCCCAAGTCTACCTTCTAGTTAGATATTTGGGTAAGATGTTGTTCTTAGTATTAGCTTAAACAGATTTCCCCTCCTAAGAAATCAGTCTTCTGACTAGCCCTGCTCACCATGCCAACCATATTGTGACTGGGCAAACTCTTCCCATGGCAGTCTTTTTGTGAAAGCATGGATGATGCAGTCTCAACATACCAACCACTGGGCACATTTGGCACATTGAGAGTGCATCATGCATTCCCAAGCTGCCCTGAACTTGGGGCCATATCCACCTGGATCCCTTAAGGAGATCTCACTGTGGAAGAACAGGGAGTCCAATTCTTCTCTTCTTCCTAAATCGATCCAGCCCAATTCCAAGCACACCACAAAAATGTGTGGGTGTTTATGTCTTTCTGTTCCCCTGCCTTACCTCCACCCTGTTGCCTGTAGACAATTTTCAATGTCAGGTCAGATGTCCTTGCTTCTTCCTTCCTTCCTTCAGTGAAAGGTAGATGGTGGAAAACAGTTGCCTTCAGCAAATTCAGGGTATGAGGTGCAGCAAGTGTCTTTGCCCTGGATGACAGGATTGTGCCCTTAAAGAACCAATTAACAAATAACTTCTAATTGACAAGTTGAGCAAAGGGTTTGGTTATCATGACATACTGGCCAGGGTGAAACATTGTGAGATTCAGCCTACATCCATCTGGGAGCTGAGGGCTTTCTATACTGATGAAAGTTTAAAAATTCAAAGACCTCATTGAAGGAAACATTAGCTTGAACATGATCCAGCATTTCATGAAGAGAAACCTGGAGTTCCTTTAGCTATTGGTTGGACACATGTACATGAAAACTGAGCCTCTCCTGCTTTAAGTAAAACTCATCAGTCACTAGGATGTTTGACATGTCTTTTATTACTTCTGAAAGGAATAGTATCAGTTTTTCATGGTAACTAATTATATTTAGGTTTATCGATATCTTTAATTTTCTATTCATAACTGCAAAGCTTTGCTCCAGAGCCCAATTGTATTATTCAAACTGTTAAAATCATGGTTACAATTAGTTTAAAAAATTAACAAAGGAATTGGACACCCTAAGAAAACAGAAAGTAGCTGTTGCAACTGCATGATGACGTAGGGAAAAAAAGAGTAAACAGATAAATTGCAAAGGACAGTTGCCTGGAGTATTAAAATGGGCAGAACAGCCAAAACCATGAGCTGGATTTCTGACTCCTGTAACAGATCTCCTCAGTCAAGAGACACTGAATACCATGAAGGGGTTGACCATACTGTTGGTTTACCTCCATCTGTCAGATGGTCTGGACAGGTGAGTATCCCAGTTATGCTCATGAATGAGATAAAAATACTGCAGCCAATTAATTCAGAGCATGCCTTTTCAGTCACTGCTTCATGGCCAAACTAGGATCTTATCTTTATAAGGCAAAATTAAACCTTAGTTGCTCAGGATTTCCGAATTTATTCATCTTTCACAGATATCCCTGCTTTGAGTGGCAAGTAGCATGATGGACAGGATGGGATCAATTTCCAGAATCAAATGAAGAGGCAAATTAGTGAACAAAAAAGACAGGTGTTATAAGAATGGTTCAACATACTTTTGCTAATTCTCTTTTCACATTGTGCAGAATTACTCTGAAAAGAGGGAAGTCCATTGGAGAGAACATGAAGGAGAAAGGAGCACCGGTGGGATCGCTGAAAAAGCACTGTGTTGATCCTACATTAAAATACCAGTTGGATGGATATGGTGTTGTTTATGAATCCTTAAGCAATAACTTGAATGTGAGCATTATAAAAATGCAAATCTGTGCCTTCTTTCTTTCTTTTTTCATCTTTGTGACTGAGAAGGATGTGACTGTTCACTGATACTCGTATCTCCCCATTCTTTCCCTCTAAATTAAGTAAACAAATTTTGCAAACTTTCAAAAGGCAGTGATGTATAGCTTGCTTTCTTCATGCACCACCATTTTTTCATACTATCTCAAAAGATGTGTTTGCTTCTCAGTGTGGCTGTGGGCACTTTTCCTTTTAGATCTCAGGACAGGGATCTTGCAGGGGTGTGTGTGTCTGTCTGTCTGTGTGTGTTTGCACAGCTCTGCCACTGTACTATCTTGCAGAGTAATGTAGGTAAACTTTCTGTGAATGCCTTGTTCAAATGGATCCTTTATGGTTTTGATAGTTCTTTTGCAATTTTGGTAGGAAAGTACCAGAGAAAGAGTTAAAAGATTCAGAACATTTAAGGGTGTGTTGGAATATCCTATTTGACTAATGTTCTCCTTTTGGCAGTCTTTCTACTTTGGAGAGATCAGTATTGGGACTCCACCACAGAATTTCCAGGTTCTCATGGACACTGGATCTTCCAATTTCTGGGTGCCTTCCACGTATTGTAAAAGCATGGCCTGCGGTGAGTAGCAGCTTTCTGCTGTAGAGGGAACAAAACTACTAATTTGTTTTGTGTATTTTAAAAAAGCTAAACATCTAAACTTCTACTCAAATTGGCAATTTTCAAAGATGAACAGAATAGGATGACGTCCCTCAGATCCTATTCTGAGTGATATCTGGGGACTTTTTCCTCCTGTTACCAACATTTATAATGAATCTTATTCAGAGATTTAAAAAATACTTAGTGGTATAGAACTATTACAAATAAACATACAAATTTAAATATTTTTCTATTTTCTAACCCTGATCCTGGTCCTCAACCTTCTCTCTTTTTGCTAATTGTGAAGTGTTCATGACCATGAGGGTGATAGACCAGACCCATAATGAAGTCAGACCTGACGTCATGAACTGAACTTTGTAGAGCAAATGGCATACAAATGGACATCCTTTATTGCCATATATAACATCATCATCATCACCACCACCACCATCATTCATTCATTATGGTCTCAGAACAGGAAAATCAATAAACAAGCAAAATAGCAGTAATAATATTAAAACACAGAGTTAGTACAATTTATCTAATATTTTCACTCACACAGATGACTGCATTTTTCCTAATCAGCACTGCAGTCATAAAAAATTGGCAACTTTTCTGGATCCATTGTTCAAAGTGGATACATCCTTCAAAGTTTAAACAAATAGATACCAAAGCGGAAGAATTATTGCCATAAAGATATGCTATCATTGCTTGAATAAATTTCCCTCTGCATCAATTTCTCTCTGCTGCAATATAAGAGAACATGGTCCATTGTCTCTACTGTTCCAGCACCACAAGAACATACTATCATATGAAAACCTTCATGTGCAAAGTTTTAAGTAAATAAATAATAAACAAACATAAATATAATGTTTGCTTTTATTCTAGATAATCACAAAAAATTTGACCCTAGTGTGTCCTCCACATATGAGAAGCCAGGCCAGACCTACACCCTCTTCTATGGGATTGGTGATGTGACCGTCAAGCTAACCCATGAAACTGTGAGGGTAGGCAACTAGTGCACCATGCAGTCATCCTCTTTGAACGGTGTTGCCTTCTGGGTAACTTCAAACCTTGATCAAGTCAAGAAGAAACAGTTCCTGCTGTGGATACAGCATCGCCATCTCTACTTGCTCAAGCACCAAACATGAGACTCACTGCTTACTAGGAGGAAAGCAGCTGACTTGTGATGCTCAGAGACCGTGAGCTGCATACAACATTCAGTAGACAGATCTGAATTTTCTATGCTGTAGATGCTATGTTTAAACGGTCACCATCACCATTCCTCCATTATAAGTGAAATATATTCTTGTTTCTGCTCTCCCAGGTCCAAAATATCATGATACACAATCAGACAGTTGGTCTGGCTGAGTATGAAGCCTTCTTTCCTTTCTACTTTGCCAGTTTTGATGGTATTTTGGGGATGGCTTACCGTTCCCTGGCTACAGGAGAGTCATATCCTGTCACGCAGCAGATGGTGAGACAAGGACAGCTTTCTGAGCCCATTTTCAGCTTCTATTTTTCACGGTAAGGACCAAAAGTCCATAACTTTGTCAGGAGGCACATTCAAAATCAAGTTCAGAGATAAGAAAATCAGATAATAAATGGCACCTCCCTATTAGTAAATTTACTGCTTCTTGCAAATGGAGGCATGGGTTTTCTAAAGAGAGAAGTAGGAGGAATAGCTTCTTTCTTGATTTTTATCACCCAGATTTTAAGGGTTAAAGATACTTTGAGGGTAAAACTTAGGATAAATTCATGATCACAAATCTAGTTACTTTTTGATCCTTAACATACTTCCTTCATTCTGTTGACTTCAGAAATGAAGCACTGGGTTTTCCTCAGGCTTGGAAGCCACCCAAATCTTACTCAATACCGTAAGAAACTGATCTCTGTAGAAGCATCCCTTCTAATTAATCAGGATTAGTTTATTTGTAGGAATCTGTAGCCAGTTCTCTTCTTTGTTCTCTTCTTCCTTATTTTATCCTATTTCTGCCCTCATACTTACATAAACCTCACCACCTTAATATTTATAGTTAGCCTCAACTGTTTTTGTCCTTTTCTATTCCTTCTAGGCAACCAACCATTCAGTATGGAGGGGAGGTGATCTTTGGTGGCATTGATGATCGGCTGTTCACTGGGGAAATTTCTTGGGCACCTGTCACCCATGAAAAGTACTGGCAGATTGGTATGGAGAAGTAAGTGATATCCATCACTCCCATTTCAGTGATAGCTAAATGTGCTTTCACTTCCCTGCTCTTTGGAATTGGGATGAATCCTTTCTGTGTGTGTGTGTGTGTGTGTGTGCGCACACACACACACACACACACACACACTAGAGAAGGAAGGTTGAAGCTCAGCCAGTGAATACTCTGTTTACTCTGTGGGAAGCACATCCTAATGCACAGAGGCAAGCTCTGGAAATGAAGTCCTTAATAGTAATACAGTACTGTGCTTTAATACCTGGCTTAGCAATTAATTGGGATATAAATGACGAGTCTTAGAATTTCCTATACATGCCAGATGTCCACATCCCAGTTATATTGGTTACTCATACACACATAGCTGAATTATCCTGAGTAAGATCATTGATCCATCTTGCTCAGCATTATCCCCCTGGGTTTGTTCTGGTTTTTCAGCATCTCTGCTTGAAGGCTTTCCTAAAACTATCTCATGAGGTCTTCTTAAATAGCATTCTGAAGCAGATTCCAGGATGCTATTTTAGCTGGGTCAACATACTGAATTTTGTTAAATGGAAGGTTGCTTATCGAAGTGTACTGGATGCCTGAGTTTTTGACTGTCAGATTTGCCTTTCAATGGTAAATACATTTGCAAATGAGAAACAGCATGGAGTTGAAAAATGGCCTTCACTTTCCAGAATATATATATGCAGCACTGATGCAAAGTAAATTAGCATCTTCAGGTTACAGCCTCTGTGGAGTCTCCGCAGCTAAGTGATGTGTTCTTCCGTGAACATAACAACTTTGTACTTATGCATTACAGAACATAAAGCAGCCCAGTTTTGCTTATTAGAACCTCTTTTATAAGAACCTAATTATAATCTCTATGCATACCTCTCAGCTTTTGTCTGGTTCGTTCTTTTCTCACTGACTTTATCTCCATGACATTCTTTGCTTTTTTATCCGTAGATTCTCCATAGGCAACAAGGCTACTGACTGGTGCAGCAAAGGTTGCCAGGTGGTGGTAGACACTGGCACCAGCCAACTTACTATACCAGGGCAGTACCTGAAGAGTTTTCTTCAGGCTGTGGGAGCCAAACAAGCTGGAGATGGTGAGGTATGTGGAGGACAGGACTTCAGGGAACTGTTCATCTCGAACTATTTCTGCCATGCAGAGGCAAAGCAACATCAGATAGCTTTAGATTATATAATCTAACATTCTGTTCCCACAGTGGCCAAACAGTGGCCCAACTGATTTTGGAGGCACTATGTAAGCACCATGGCTAGAAATAATTGATAGCCTCCTCTATCAAGAATTTGGTATCCATCACTACATATTCTGAAAGTGGGTTCCATAGTGTAGCTATGCATTGCACGATGAAGTGTTTTCTTTATCTGCCCTTCATCTTTCACCATTTAATTATGTTGCAGAACATTGGGTTATGGAATTACGGGGGCAGTTTTATTTTCAGTTCCTTTCCTAATGATACCCATCATAGAGTTTATCTTTTGCACAGCTGCTGAATTCTGGGACAGCATTCTTATTGAGCATTTCACTGCAATCCAAATATCTCTTTCCCAGATACTGGTACCTCCAGTGCAGACCCCACGAGTCCATAAAAGTATTTAGGATTTTGCTCCGATGTGTGTTACTTTACACTTGCTTCCATTGGAACGTATCTGCCATTTTTTGCCCATTCCCCAGGTTGGAGAGATCCCTTCAAAGTCCTCTTTTTGTTTTAACCAGCTCAAATTATTTGGTGTCATCAACAAACCCTATTGCAAGCAAATCAGTATTTGCTTGCAATGCCAGACCATTCATGAACAAGCTGAAAAGCATCACTGTGCTGATGTGCACCATCAGAAAACCGAAGGATAAAGGCGGCCTAGTGGAATGCAAAATACGTGTGCTAAAAATGCTCCCTGAGGCATCATACCAGCTGCAATCATACAAAGAATACTGGACTAGACAGCCACAGCCTAGATCCAGACAGACAATAATGCTTATTCCTGTGGAGAAGGTAGATGGCACAGCTTTCATACATGGCGGACTTCAGTGGTATTTATACATTTTCTTTTAGTTTTCTAAATTGCATTTCCTTTACTACAACCCCCCTCCCCACAGTCATTTGCTTTAAAATAGTGAAACACAAGCGAAAGCGAAGAGGCTTTAAAAAAGCATTGCGAACCCAGACATCTTCTGAACTGCACTGAACTGCACCAGAGCATATTTTCTTTGGCACATCCCTTTTTGTGGGAACAGATTCAGATGCAGGGCCAGGGCCAGCCTGCCTCAGGCTCCCCATCTGTCAGGCCTCAAGGTCTTCTCCATGCTGCAGCCTCCATCATGACCGTACCCAACCACCATTGTGTCCCGCCTTTACCAGCCACTAATTCTTACACACAGCTAGGCCAGATGTGTTTCATGGCTGGACAGAACTGGTGCCTCTGGAGCTGGTGTTCTGCTCTACTCCATCTTGGACAATCACTGTTACAGAATCTGAAATGCAGCACCTGCCCTGCCACCAGTGTCTCTCACTGCATTTCAGGTCACCCAGCAGCACTGGTCTGCTCACCTCCCCTGCAGAAGTGCTGCTACCTGGCTGCCCCAGGACATCTTGGCAGGTGGGGAGGAGAGGGGTTGCTCTGGTAGGCAGTGGCAGAAGCACAGCTGTGATAGTGGCAGCCATGGCAGAGTCAGTGGTTGAAGCTCAGCAGAGTCAGGGATGAAACCTTCTGAGCACCCAGGCCCTCAACATCTTCCATACCCAGGTGAGTCCTGGTGCAGGCCCTGATCTGCTCAAGCCCCATTCTAGTCTTCTCACAGTGAACCCTATTTTTGTATTCTACTTACAGTTTTTAGTGAACTGCAACAACATCCAGAAAATGCCCACCATCACCTTTGTTATTAATCGATCCCAATTCCCACTGCCTCCCTCCGCCTATGTTACTAAGGTAACTATACTGCTTTGCTTAACGATGGGTCACTTAAAGCATATGATCTGTGTGTGGTACTGTCTAGAGCAGGGGGCAGAACTTCAGGCCCAGGAGGCAGGTCTAGTCCTCCTAGTTTCCGTCAAAAGCTATCCCTCTTGCTTTCCTGGCATCCTGGCTTTTGCACATTCCTTCTCCCATTCTCAAAGATTGAAATGCCTTTTCTAAGGGTTAGTTACTGGCAGCAAGTGCTTCAGGCTAAAATTTGCTGGCACTGTGAGGGTTTTGCCTCCAGCACAGTCCACCTCTGGAATTCAGTCCTTGAGACTTCCCTGACATGCCATCCAGCCCCTGCACTGAATGAAGTTCTGCATCACTGAGCTAGAGATATTGTTACACTTCATGTAGTCTTGATAAGGACTTCTCATTAAGGCTTCTCATGTGACCAAGGGTGGTAGATGCTTCCTGGGTCGGTGGGATTCCTTATTCATTGCTATTTGGTCATTTTTCTTCTGGCTTTTTCTTTTGATCATCTTTTTAACGATCTTGCATGAATTTGTTTTTGTTGTTTGCATTGTTTTCTTATACTTGCAAAATCAAAGATCTTTTCAAAGACTTTCATATACAGATGCGCTTTATGTTGGAACCAAAATATAAAGATAAATGTTTTTGGAATATATATTAAACAATTAGAAGCACTGAGAAACAGTAGTTTTAATTTATTGCATTAGGATACCAAATAGTTTGTGCTTTGTAAAACAATGAGTATTTGAAAAAGACAATAAACTCGACCTTTTTAGCATCTCAGCTAAAAAAGGATAAATTATAACAACTGGCTTTTCTATAAGGGCATTTATTCTTTGCTCATGAGTCTTGTGTATTTTCACAATCTGCACTACCATCTTGTGGCTGAGTGATGGAAAATATATATAGAAAGACAGAAAAAGAAAGAAACCTCCTGATGGGAAAAAAGGAGCCAGCCTTAATCTCACAAAGAAACTAGGAGTAGAAGCATCAGTAAAGTGGTGGGTTAAAAACTCATGTAGAGAAGCCTAATATGATCTCACAGTTAAGAGACAGGGATAAAATAATAATGCTCTCAAAAGATATAGATAATACATGTAAAAACTACTACAGGGCTTTTTACTCCTTAGATCATCCCACTAAAGAAGCAAGAAAGACATTTTCACTGAATAATTTAAAAATCTAAAATAGAATAAAACCCAGGTATAGAAGGATCTATAGGAGACCATTATAAGACTTTTAGTTAAAAAAAAAGCATTCAATCAATATGTTTAATGGGAGAATGCAAAAAGGAATCTAATTCTTATGAACTAAACAAAGTTCAAGAGCTAGTACAGGCTAGATCCTGGGTACATTATAAGAAAATATTGTCAATATATTTGTACAAGAGTTTTGTTTGGTGCTTCCATTACTTTTGGAGGATGTAAAGATTACTTTGTACTTTATCTTAAAATTATAAATAAATACATCTGCTTCAGATGTCCCCCCTCTCCTGTAGAGATGGAACCTACCGTGATTTTTTTCTTTCTTTCACAGAACAATGGATATTGTACAGTTGCAGTGGTGGCCACGTACTTGCCTGCTGTGAATGGGCAGCCTCTGTGGATCTTTGGCGATGTCTTCCTCAAGGAGTATTATTCTGTCTTTGATATGGGCAACAACAGGATCGGCTTTGCACCATCAGCTTAGATTTGGCAAAGCCCCCTTACTTGGGCTCTAGTAGGATCAGAGAATCATAGAAGAGTAGATTGGCTGGGAAACGGCCAGGAAAACCATTGGGTCCATCCCCCTGCTCAGCGAGGAGCTTTGTTTCCAGTCTCCGGATCATCCTTGTTGCTCCTCTGAACCCTTTCCAGCAGGTCTGCATCTTTCTTAAACTGTAGTGCCCAGAACTGGACACAGAATGGTTTTTTTGTTATATTTGTCAAACACTTTGCAGGTTTCCTGTGTTCCATAGACTGTGCCCTGTGATTTGCATATCATCAGTTATTCATTGCTACATAGAAATAAACTCTTACATATCAAACAAATTGTTGCTTGTTTTGTTAAAAGAAATATTTATTAAAGTTTTAATATTGTTAGTCTTTCTGAACATCTTTGACAAATTGACACAGATCACAGAAAATACTTACTCCTTATTGCAGTAAATACAGTTATACAGATCAGCTTTTCAGATCCCATAGCAGAGTTTGCAATGTTCACAATCCTTAGTAAATCAAATTGCCTAGACAGAGGCTTTTGGCACATTGTTTTGTTCAAGGGACATTCCCAAGGATAAAATTCCTTTTGAGTCAGAGTCCCCGCATCATACTGGGACTTTGTTAGGGTTCTAAGTTAGGGTCTTGTAAGACTCAAAGCAGACAAGAGTTCAGGATTCATCATAAATCCAGGCAAATGCCAAATGTCTAGAAGATATTTTCAAGAAAGGCTTTTCAGCCTGAGCATTTCAGGGGAGGGACTGCTAAAGACTCCCTTCTTATCTGACCCATACATGAGCTGTAGATCTGAGGGGCCATTGTTATTCTGCCCTTTTCGATTGTTATCAAGGTGACACCCCTGAGTCTGTCCATTCCCCTCCCGCAAAGCCTTCCTTTTGCTGATGTTAGCTTGGGAATTTGACCTGGTGCCAAAATATATATAATGTTGGTGCCAGGCATATTTCTCTGGTGAGCTGATTCCGCAGTCAGGGTGCCACTGCCAAGAAGGCCCTTCCCCTCGTAGCCACCCTCTTTTCCCCATTTAGGGATGCCTCATGGCAAAGGACCTCTGTAGATGATCTAAGGGTCCAGGTAGGTATAGATGGGAGGAGACTCTCCTTTAGATATCCATGCCTTAAGCCATTCAGAGATTTATATATTAGCACAAGCTAACGTAAGTTAGCTATAATAAAAGCTATATGATCAAAAACCTGTATATGAAAGTCTGCTAGTCTGCTGGTAGCTATTAGCTACACTAGCTGTCACTTATTTTGCTTTCAGTTGTGTCCTGCTTATGTCCTGCTCGTGGGTAACTAAGAGGTGGTGACAAAGTGGTGGACTGGATGGATCGCTGGTCTAATCCGAGAAGAAACTTCTTATTGCCCATAGGGAAGAAACCAGGACCAGCCCTACCAGTAGGCAGAGTGAGGCGGCTGATGTGTTCCACTGAAGGCCATGGAGCGAGGCTCATATGCCACATGCATTGGGAGTCATCAGCCCTGGGTGCTGTGCACAAGGTCTTGTGTGTGAGGAGGGGAAGCAATTTCTGCTTTGCTTCAAGTAGCAAAATATCTTGGGCCAGTCATGTAAGAAACCTGTAGAATGAATTACATACCCCTGTGCTCTCTTATGCACAAGCAGCATTTATCCCCAATGATTTTATGGAAGTAGCTAATAACCACTTCTTTCTGAAGAAGACATATTCTCCTTAGCATATTGGTGTACAACAGCATACAAGATCAGATGCTGGGGTTTTGTGACTGGATCCCTTTTAATAGCAGACTCAGACGCAGAGTGCAGAATGCAGACAAAATTAGGCCAGTGTGAAGAATTGGGAGATATCAGCATGTTTAAGAAAATATAAAAAAACACCTTTAGGGAAAATATGTCCTAAGGGACAAAACAACAACACAGAACAGCCCTATGAGGTGTCAGAGATCCTCAGTGGCTGTAGAATGTGGAGTGTCTATTGTAGGGAGCAATGGAGTGAAAGATGGGCCAGATAGTTGGCCTGAACCCTGAGCAGGACTACTTCACTCTACAATATTCTGATGAGTGATCTACTATTTGTCCTCTTAGGAGGCAAAAACTTAGTGCTGGGAGAACTTAGTGCATGGGGAAATAGCATGGGGAAATTTGGCTGTAAGAGCCAAATCACCCATTTAGTATGAAGAGTACTGGAGATGTTGGATGATTAGCTGACTCTCAGCAGAACATAATTTATGAGTAATTGTGAGGATGAATGCTCCCCAATCCCAAGCCAGGCCACTGTTTCAAACCATGAAATGTTCTTCCAGTTGGGCAGATCTTAAGACCTACCAAGCAAAAGACAGTGTGTAGTTATTCTGATTTTAACTTCCTAACATATTTTCTGTAAGAATAAGGGAAGAAAGAACCAAAAGACATGGTGGAAAAATGCAAGATGGTTAAATATGGGGGGGGGGGATCATGTGGAAATAATCTAAGTTTCAGGTCTACAACGTGGTACTCATGGACCTGGGCACCAGCTACATTCCCTTCCCCACCTGACCTTTTTTAAAAAGTAATTAAAATACCAGTAAGTTTGTTTACTGCTAAGCAAAGCTCCAGCTTTGATTGCCATTTTTATTTCCAAGGGTATCTTTGAGTTCCACATAGACCCCAGAAGTGATCTTTACAATGAAATATAATTGGTGATAGCAGCCCTGTACTTCATTTTGAAGCATGGCAATCCACCAGCAGGTGGGGAGGAAAGTGGGGCAGTGGTGGTAGGGAGTGACTTGGAGGGCTAGAGTTATTGGTGGGGGGGGGAGGGATGTTTTTTCCTCTGATAGATATTCTGCTTTGCCTTTTTGGGGGGCTGCCCCATGCTTGTTTCTGAGAATCAGAGGCTTGTCTTCATAGAAATGTGTACCTTGCAGGCAAGTATGTGATTTGGCATTTGGAGTTCAGATTGCACAACTGGCTTCTACCTAGCTATTTGTTTCTGTTCCTAATCATGTAGCAGTTTTTCTGAAGTGGTTGTTGATGCAGAAAACTGTGTGTTCAAAAATGGCTTTGTGTTTTAGCGTTTAGACCCTTAGCCAAAGTGTTTGCTTCTTTTTGTCATCAGAGGTTGCCTTCTAATAAAGTGGGGGTTTGTGACTGACTATAACTGTCATCAGGATTGGCCCTCCAGTGAAGTGTGGTGAATACCCCACCCCTGAGAGCACAGTGGGAGGAGTGGCAAGTAACAGGCTTCTGCCTCCCCACCAAGGGGGCCCTCAGCTGCTGCCTTGGCCCAGCAAGGAAGCACTGGAACAGGTGTTCCAGAGAACCCTATCAGCTGCCACTGCCCTGTAGCCTTTGCTGTAGGCAAAGAGCAACCAAAGAGACCCTCCGGAGCAGCCCCTACTTCTTGGATCACCCGAAGGACCTTCAGGAGGTGATCCAGAGGGCAGAATGGCTCTGTGAAGAGCCATCTGCTGCTACCTCACTCAGGTCCACATACCTTCCTCAGAACCAAGCACTGTGGGAGTGGTACAGTAGGGAGAATGGAGAGGTACATGGCATGTGTGAGCAGGATGGAATGTGATGGGCAACCTGGCAGCCTCAGTGGAGGTTGATATAGCAGTATGTTTGGGCTCTCTATCCATAGTGGGCACCATTTTGTGAATAGGCAAAAGCCATCCATGATAGCCATTTTGTGAGTGCACCCAGGGCTCACTGACCTGAACTGTTTGGGGTCATTTGTCCTGAGTGATCTTAGGAAATGAAATGGAAAAAAAAACAAGTGAATCTGAAAACTTGACTCCCTTTCATTAATATAATGTTTCTGAAGGCTATGAATAGCAAGGGCTAAGTCCATCACCAGTTCTAAACTATGACATCCCCTCAATGTTCCCAGTCAAACATTGCACAACTATTACAGAAACATTTGGTTCTCAAATCTAACTCTGTAGAACGAAATGGCAGAATCTGTTGGTATAAGATAACTACATTTATGTGCGCACACAATTACATTATGTCAGTATATGAACACTACAGAATCTAGTTAAATAATATATCAGGAGCCAGTCTGTGGACTGATAACACTACATACACTTCCCTGCTTTTCCATATGCATGTGAATACTAGAGGAACAGTTGTGATTCTTTCCAACCCCTCTGCATATACAGTGAAATTCTTATTGGACAAGAATGATAGACTCAGCCATAGCCAAGGCTTGGATTTATATCTGATCGCTAAAGGTCAATGGAGGAGACGTGGTTTTCCAAGCTGGCAGCAGTTTAGCCTGATAACATATCCTTGGGAATGGTGGTTGTTAAGTGCTGTCAAGTTGTATCCAACTTATGGAAACTCCATGAATGTATATCCTCCAAAATGTCCTGCCCATCACAGCCCTACTCAGGGCTGTGGATTCCTTTAGGGAGTCAAGGAAGCTGCTCTTTGTGCTTGTATGTGTGTAGGAAATTTCAGCTTATCACCATGATCAAAGAATATAAAAAACCCGACAACACCCATTCCTAAATAATATTTCACAGCTTCCTTTTGATGCTCACAGAATGTATGTTTCAATGCACTAGCAACAGTTCTTCCATTAACTTAACACTGAGTGTTGCAACACTCACCCCCTGGAACCCAGTCCTTATTAATATCAAATAGGTATCTTCAGTTCTGACTTTCAGGTCCCTGCTTAAGGCTTCCCTTTTTATGCTGGCCTTCCCTGGTGTGCGATCCAGCCATTTCCTATGGACACTGGACAGACTCTAGATGGCCATTCAAGAACTTGGTGTTCCACTTCCAGCCTCAGAAATGCACTCTGAGTGTGGACTTCCCCTCCTCCAGTCTCACAACCAGTGTAACCATGCTGGCAGAGGCTGTACGTAAGGTTGGAAGAGTGACCTCAGAGGTGTCGTTCTGAGGCAAGGAAGAGGGGGTTCAGGTCCCCCCTGTAAATGGAGAATCCTGGTGGTACTCAGTCTCTGCTCCTTGATCTCTGGAGGGAAAGACCTAGATGGCCAAACGAGATTGTCTCAGTCTTTGGCAGGATGGGATAAGGGCAGAGCAGACCTTCACTTCTGCATTCCTCCCGCTCTCCATGGAATGCTCTGAGGATGGAGGATTTGTAGTTTATATTTTCTGCATTTGCATCATCAAGCCCATAATGCTATGCATGTTCAGAGCAAGAAGTTGTCCAGCTTCTGACATTCCCCAGATAGCTATAATAACTGAGGAATCCTGGGAGTTGTAGAGCTTTGTTCTGTTTGAACATGCTTAGGATTGCTTGTTATATTAAAAGGTAGCATAAAAACTTCAGAACAGATTTTATAAGATTTGAACTTGAAATTTAAACAAAATTAGAAATGCAGATTTTTGGCATTTGAACTTATCAATGTGTATGACAAGAAACACAAATCTAACTCATTCTTAAATACTATTATTTAATTATTTTAATTCTCATTTAGTTATAATTTTAATTATGTATTATTTTTATGGGATCTCTTATGGAGAATAATGATATCTTAGTTATAAATTAAAGATGTATGCAAATTTGAATTATTAAAGATCTATTCCAATCTATCACACAAATACATGAGATGCAAAAAATACACTCATAAAATACAAAAATATGTTTCAAAAATTTACTATTAACTGCTAATAGATGAGCAAAAGAAATGGCTCATTTTGATATACTGATCAGGCTGAAAAACCTAGATATTCAATTCATATGAAGCTTGGGAGCTGAAGGTTTTGTATATGAATAAAGGTTTTAAAATTGAAACACCTCACAGAAGGTAGTATTAGCTATAACATGACCCAATATTCTAGTGAAGAGAAACCTGGAGTTACTGTAGCTATTGATTGGATGCAATTACAGAAAAATTGAACTTGTTCTGCTTTATGTTAATAATTGTCCACTCATCACATTCATTAGGGTTATTAATGTGCCCTTGATTATTTCTGAAAAGAACACTATCAGTTTTCCAAGGTTATACTTTGATTTATTGTTATCACTCTTTTTTAATATCAAAGGTTTTCCCTAGAGCCAATGTCTATCGATCAATCTTTTCAAAAATCAAAGACACAAATTCGCTCTAAAACTTTTATCTTTTAAACAAAGGAGTTGGGCACATTATCATCCTTAAGAAAACAAAATGTACATGTTGGGTGTACATAATGACACGGGGAAATAAGTATAAACAGGTCACTGAGAACAGTTGTTCTTAGTATAAAAGTAGGAGCAGAATAGCCAAAGAAAGTCTTACTCTCCTTAGTCAAGCAACTGAGCATCATGAAGTGGCTGATCCTAGCACTGGTTTTTCTGCACCTATCCGAAGGTCTGGACAGGTGAGTATTCCAATTATGGGCATCAACGATATGGAAGTACCACTGTATGCAAGGGATACATTTTCAGTCAATGTTTCATGGCTAAAATATAGTCTCATCTTTTCATTGCAAAGTTAAAATTTAGTTTGTCAAGCTTTCTGAATTTATTCATCCTTTGTAGAAGTTCTTTTGAGTGGTAAATAGCATAATGAGTTATCAACAATTTCTAATACCAATCAAGAGGTGAGCCAGGAAGCAAATGGACATGGGAAATATATGGAAGCTCCAGTGAACTTCTATGGTTCTTATGAACTGATTTTGTTGTGCAGAATGATTCTGAAGAAAGGGAAGTCAATTAAGGACAACATGAAAGAAAAAGGAGTGCTGGAGGAATTTCTGAAGAACCACCGTGTGGACCCTGCACTGAAATACCAGTTGAATGACTACACTGTTGTTTATGAACCAATAACCAATAACTTGAATGTATGTATGCAACGCCATGTATATCTTTCTTTCTTTTCAAACTTTGGGACTGAGACTTTGCTCAATGCTGAATTGGAGACAGACAAATCTTTTAATCTGAGGTTTGATTTGTCCCACTCTTTAAACCCCTCTCAAAGCTTGTTTTAAAATTTCTATACATTTGAATGCACATTTAATTTAATAAATGCCTTCTTGCAGGTAATTTTCTTAATATAATGCAACTTGAGCATTATTTACACTAGCATATAGATTTTTACATGCATATTTCCCTAATTTTGGAGGGCCATTTCATTGCAAATTTTGAGAAGAGAAAATTTTAAAGGATGGCCATGTTTTGGCTCGGTTTAAAAGAGCATAACTAGGCAGTTTTGCATGAAAATGAAAGCTGAACAAATTTTTCTCCATCCCTAGAGTTGATCGTTGAGCCCATTGAGGGATGGTGCAAGCGAGCAACCTATCCACTAGACTGTTTCACTATACAACTTTGAAAATAGTATATTGATGTTTGCCCAGGTTTTTGAAGAATTCATATTAAAACACATCTTAAATATTTATTTATTATGATTACTATTTATATACTGCTAATTTTTTTAAAAAAATACACTGTTTCCCTATAAATATTAAAATAATATTTCAAATGCAACTTTTGTGGGACCAGTACCACAAAACAGCATAGTGAATTTAACTGTGAGAAATGTAGTGTAGCTGCATACACATGGAAATTTGGGTTTCCAGGATAAATCCCTTAGATAGAAAAGAGGGACAGCTTAAAAGATGGTCAATTGATCCAAAATATTTGATTTTTTTTTTTTTTTTGCATAGTTCTCTCACTGGTTTTCTGTGCAGTCTTTAAAAACAGCTTAGACTACCTTCTTTGTGAGATTAATTTTTGTAAAAAGAAATTGTTTATCATCCAGACAGTTCTTTTGAGATTTTTAGCAGAAAAATATCAGTCAAGAGTCAAAAAAATGTAAAGGAGTTTTGAGATTATCCATCTTCCTAATGTTTTCTATTTGGCAGTCTTACTACTTTGGAGAGATTAGTATTGGGACTCCACCTCAGAACTTCCGGGTTCTCATGGACACTGGATCTTCCTATCTTTGGGTACCTTCCGTGTACTGCAAAACCAGAGCTTGTGGTGAGTACTAGCACACAGTTTTAGGATGAATTGTTTTACTGAGGGTATTTTTTTTTCTGAGCTCCCTACTTGATTTTGTTTCTTCAAAAGAGCTAAACATCAGGCCAAACAGATGGTTTTCAAGGATGCATGGAATGGCCTATACATGATGATGTTCCCCAGATTCTTTTTTCTGATGGGCATTGGCTACTCTTTCCTTCCGTTCTCATCCTTTCTCATTCTCAGTAATGATGGCAAACAAAATGATGGAGCTCATTTGCCCTGGCCAGACTATGTGACTCAGATAATGAGTGTTATAGTAACACTGTCTGGAACTGCATTTTATAAAAGAAACATTTATTTCCATGTAGCAATTAAATGAGTACATGTATAAAGCAAATGTAGCAATTAGGTGAGTATATCTGGGGAGTACTTAACCCTTCTCCCACAAACAGGTTCTTCCTTGTAAATTCCCTGATGAATTTAAATATTTCTTTCATTGGGTTCCCATTCCATATTTGCAAAATCTTGACATTCATGAATTTGGAACAGAAATGTTTAAGGGGATATTTGAGAGAGAGAGAGAGACACTACTTTGGATTAGCTCAAATGCATTCATTCATAGATTTCTGCAATAGAATAATTTTGTACTCCACTGATTTTTTTTTATTGGTCTTTTGAATTTTCTAATGCACTCCAAGAGAACTATTATCCCCTTTAATCTTTTTTTCCACTTGTTTTCTTCTTCTAATATACTTACAATTACCCTGTTGGGAGCAAGGGCCTTGATCAAATTGACAGAGTTTTTTGCTGGACAGTGGGCAGCGATTTGAACCCATGACAGACCTGTTGTGAATGAATTTTGAAGTGCCATATGTAAACAGAAACATTTTACTTTTTTACTCTAGGTAACCATGAAGTTTTCGACCCTAGTTTATCCTCTACATACTCTGCCACACAAGAGACATTTACCATGTACTATGGCTTTGGTGATGTTTCTGTCAGGCTAGGCTATGATACCGTGAGGGTAAGTGGACGCTACACCATACAATCACTTAAACTCTGTTGTGTTCTGGGAATCTTCAAACACTGCTCCTGTCATGAAAACAAACACACAGCCCCTCCTCTGTTCAGAACCCAGCACTGCAAGTATAAAACAGATGAGCTCCGAAAACTAAGCTTAAAGAGCAAAGTATGTGACTCTAATACCCACATACCCTTATAGCAGGCAGTGCTGAAGGCTTTCTGCATCCCACACTCTGTACTACAGGTGATTTCCAGGAGTAGGCAAATAATTTCACCTGATTGCTGTTCAAGCTACTTTGGCACCCAATGCAGAACATTAAAAAGGTAGATTTATGAACCCAGCTTTTACATATTTACAAAATAATTACGCCTAATTTAAGGAGAACTATATTAACTATTTCCAAGGAATTAAGTTTCTTTGATCCACTTCACAGTCAATCTGCTTAGCTGTGCCACATTAGCCCCATTCAAGCATTTTCAAAGGGCTTAGAGTAAACCTCTTTGGAAAATCAGCGTGCTCATTCATGGGCCTTCATTCGGAGAGGTTGGCAGGAGTGTGTGAGGAGGGGCAGGGCTGCTATGCATCTCCATGTGCACTTATTAAGTCCACAAGCACACACACTTGCAAATCACCTGCAAGGGGCTATTGATGCTCCAAGCTATCTTATTTCTAAAATGATGTGTATTTTCTAGGGGCATGCTTTGGATTCTGCCAAATTCTGGAGTGAGCACTAAATCTGGCTGAATTGGACAGATTTAGGCGATTTCCAAATCAGATTGCATCTGAAACTGAACACTCCTGACCATCCATTAGCAAATTAGATTCCATGTGACACAGAGACACAGATCGTGCGTCTCCAAAAATTGATAAATTTCTCCCTAAGCTCTCCTTAGAACAAAATGACCAGAATGGAAAGCAGGGGGCTGCTGGGAGCAGGTAGAGTTTTGTGATTAGCAGCTCTAGTTTCTAATCACAACGAATTATTTTACTACGGTTCTTCAATCCCAGTGCTTTGGGATGGGCCTGGTGAAGTAATTTATTTAATTAATTTATTTCTAATATCAGTATACTAGTAAATATGACAAATCTCTAAGCAGTTAGAGATTATGATCCCATGTTCCAGTGTTCAGCACTGCTTGCTAGTTCCCTGTCTCTGACATGACATTTAAAAGGGGCTGGTGGAGAGTGTAGCATTTGGTGCTCACTTGGAAAACATTTCTGCCTTTGTGATTTTACGCATTCTTTGACATTGGTACCATCTAAGCAGAATACCAAAAAGTCTTTGGGTGCAATCCTATGCATGTTTAGACAGAAAAAGGGAAATTCCAGCATGCCTCAGCCAGCATGTTAACTCTTACTTTAAACCAACCAACCGCTTTGTACTGAATGCCATTTTCATTACAATCACCACCAAAACATAAGTGGATAAAACCACCCAAAATTAAGGACGACTTAATTTTTAAACCTCTAAAATTAAGGATTGCCTTTGCACAAATGTTCTTGGACTTACTCACCTGAAATTTGGCAACCCCCTTCAAATGCCTTCCAACTCTGCCAGGAAAAACAGTTACTGATGGTGCCAGACACATACGCACACACTTAAAGTAGCAGCACAAAAGCCCTGTTCTTGAGGAATATGGTCAATCTAATCCCTACATATATCGCTACCATGCCTGCAAATTCAATCCAATTTTGAAAAACAACAACCAAAAAAGTCATAGCTGCATGTTGTTTTCTAGTGATGTGATGAAAGACGTAAAATACCAGTTATCTTCGGACCCACACTAAATGGAAGCCTCCCAATTTTTCTGAGCAGGATTTGGACATTTCACTAAATGCTAGCCATTGTTGGTTGTACTAACTGTGATTTTAAAATTGTTTCTACTGTATACTTTAATCTTGTAACCCATTCAGGGACCCTTCTGGCTAATGCAGGGGAAATTTTAATAAATAAATAAACAGACCACACATACTAAATCTTGTTGATGTTGCATGCCACTCATATTTTCCTGTCCTTACTGTTGATATTTGCTTCTTTGATTGCTCTTCTTTAGCATAACTCCTTGTTAAATATGTGAACTCCCCTTTTCTTACTTTTCTCACAGATCCAGAATACTGTAATTGAGAACCAGGCATTTGGCCTGACTGAATACGAACCCCCCTATCCTTTCTACTATGCCAGTTTTGATGGGATTTTGGGGATGGCTTATGGATCCTTGTCAGGAGGCCTGCTCCCTGTCACACAGCAGCTGGTGAAACAAGGGCAGCTTTCAGAACCCATCTTCAGTTTCTATTTCTCACGGTAAGATGTTTAAAAATGCAGTTTTGTCAAGGGACAAATATGAAATGAAGCAAAGAGACAATCATCTGGAATGACTGAATGGCTACTACTTCTCCATGGAATTACAAATATAATTGAGTGTGGCATTCCAACTCCACCATGTGGCTGTAAAGGTTGAAACACATATGGAAGGGTAAAATTCACAGTAAGCTCATAAACTGCTTAATGAAAATCTTTTTCTCTTTTGATCCCTGAGATACTTTACCCAGTCTTTGAAGCCTCACCAGTCTTGCTCAGTGGTTTGAGGATCTGATCTTTTTGTAGTTATTTAGGATTAGTTGATCTGCAGAACCTGTGCCCACTTATCTCCATTGTTCTTTTCATCCTCATCTGTCCTCATTGAAACCATTTCCTATGAAAATCTCCACCAGCTTAATACTTATAGTTAACATGAACTGGTTTGTCTAATTTTTCCCTTCTAGGGAACCCACTGAGCAGTATGGAGGGGAACTAATCTTGGGAGGTATTGACAATCAGCTGTTCACAGGAGAAATTACTTGGACACCTGTCACCTATGACGTTTATTGGCAGATTGGTATTGAGGAGTAAGTAATGTTCATACTTTGCATTTCATCTGTTGTTTAATGTGCTTTTCTGCTTTGATGTCTTGTTATTCCAGATGAAAATGAAAGGTTTCCACACCTCTTTGGAAGCACAGTTTGAAAGCCAATGTGAGGTGGTGATTAGAATGTTGGACTGGGACCCAGGACCAGGAGATCTGGTTCTAATCCCCACTTGGCCGTAAAGCTCCCTGGAAGACTTTGGGCCAGTCATTGACTCTAAGCCCAACCCACCTCACAGAGTTTTTGTGGGGATAAAATGGAAAGGTCACCCTGGCTTCCTTGTATAAAAAAGGCAGAATATCAATATAATAGACAGATCTCTAGAGAGGAGGAGATTATTTCTATCTGCTAATCATATACTGTGTGTCTGTATTAATTTTTATTTCTCCAGCATTGTAAGTTAACTTTCAAAGAACCTGACCAATGCTAGACTCACAGAAGTACTATTAATTTCAACGTGATGGTTAAGCACAACAGAATGTTGTATCAATAAAATTAATAAGAATTTGCAAAAGAGTAACAAAATTGTAATCATTGCTGCAGAAGGTGAGGGTACCTTTAGTGATGATGCATTTGTTAAAAAAAAAAAAGCAAGGCTACATGAAAGTCATGTGCTTAAGTGGCAAAACAGAGTTGCATTCTCATATGGGTAAATGATGACTGGTCTCATCCATCCATCAGAAGCTGACAAGATTTGTGATATTCCTTCGAACACTGTCAATCACAGTGAATGAAGCATCAAGCTAAAAACCAACAGGAACTTTCCCAATAAGAGGATATTGCAGGATGAGTGCTAGAGAAATATTCTAGTAAATGCCAACTTCCTCTATTACTTGGCAAAAGACAAATAACCACCCACATGCACATGAGCACACCCTCCGGCAAGTCCTTTAACAATTCTATGGAAGCCAAGGAAATATTTTGCAGATTTTGCAAAGGATATCATGTCTGAGAGTGGGAAATAACATGGGACTCTCTGTGCAGATTACTGATTCTCCTGCATCGGTCTGTGCATTTCTCTCAGCTTTCTCAGCTTTGTTGCTTACTTTGCACTCCTGACAAAGCATTCCTGCTTTTGCATCCATAGGTTTACCATAGGAAATAAAGCCACTGGCTGGTGCAGTGAAGGCTGCCAGGCAATTGTAGATACTGGCACTTGTCAGCTTACTGTCCCAGGCGAGTACATGGAGAGCTTCATGCAAGCTGTGGGAGTTGAACCAGCCAGCGATGGTGAGGTAGGTAAAGGATAAAAGATCTGCAGTGATCTGCTTGTTACATCTCAAATTATTTCTGCAAGTCAGAGCAGAAGCAAAACAAGAACATAAAAGTTGTACTTGGCAAACCAAAGGTCAGAATCTGGCTCCCACAGTGGCCAAACAGATCTGGGAAGCCTATAAGCAGGACAGGATCATAAGATGTTTCCTATCATATGGTTTTGAAAGGCAAACTGTTTCGGGAGTTGGAGGTAGTATATGGGCATTATGATTAGAATCACCCTTACTCTCCATGAATTTTTTAAAATTCCCTTTCTAATTCTAATTTCCTTTTAGAGTCATCGACACTGGCATCTATCAGTACTTCTGGAAATGTTTAGATATGCACTGTGTGAAATCTCCTACTATTCAGTTTCACCAGTCCCAGGTTTCAGGGAATGAAGAAAATATCTATCCACCCACTTTTTCTACTCTGTGTATAATAATATATTCCTCTGTCATGTTCCCTGCCATTCAGCTTTTCTTGAAACCTAAATGGCCCCAAATACTGTAACCTTTCCTCATAGGGCAGCTGCTCCAGTCCCTTGAGAATATTGCTTCCTCTTTTCTAGCTCTTTAGATACATTCTCAAGGTGCAGTGGCCATAAATATGCACAATATTCCAAGTGCAATCACGCTATAGATTAGTTTAAATCAAGATTTATTTTCAGTTTATTTACTAATGATGCTCAACATGGTATTTGCTCATTTTACAGCAACCAAATGCTGTACTGATATTCTCCTCAATCAATATACCTCAGCCCTGAGGTCTCTCTCCTGATTAGTTACCAGCAGCTCATGTTCACACATGCACATTAGAATTCCCATTAGTGCATACACGTATGTGAATTTAGGATTTTTGTTCCAATGTGTGTTGCTTTATACTTGCTTCCACTGAAACATATTTGCCATTTTAATTCTCATTTTGGACAGATCCCTTTAGAGCTCTTTGTTATTTCACTTTTTGTATTGACCAGCTCAAATGATTTTCTGTCCTCAAGAAACCCTTACTCCTCGTTTGCAATGCGGTATCATTTATGAGCAAGTTAAAAAGCAACATTGTACTCAGAAGTACAATTCGAAAACTGATGCTACAACCCAGAATAAAGACCATGTAGTGGAATTTAAAACACACATGCTAAGCTCACTCCTGGAAGCAGCGGACCAAATGCAATCCTAAAGAGAACACTGGATGAGATAATCATAATCTAAATCCAGCCGGTCAGTCATGCTTATGCCTGTGGGAAAGGCAGGTGGTATAGCTGTCATACATGGCATCAATGACTATACAAAGGGTATTGGCAAATTTAATTTAGTTGTGTTTTTAACCCTGTTTTCTTTTTTAAACACCCTTTTCAGTGACTTGCATTAAAATAGCAAAATAAAGATGGCAATTATAATAGCAGCAGCAGCAACAGCAACAGCAATAATGCTTTAAGCAACAGCAAGAACCCAGAATGCTTCTGAAATGTAACAGAGCATATTTTGACTGCAACCTCTTTTCTGTTGGGGATAGAATCAAGTTCCCATGTGCCCTGTGCATGGTATTTCCAGTGGGATGCCCCATCCTTCAGAATTTATGCCTTCTGCCTATTGTCACTTCTACCACAACCATACCAAGCCACCAGGCTGTCCATCGGCCTCCGGTCACTCATCCCTGCATACAGAGAAACCAAATATTCAGCATTTCTAAGAAAGATCTAAGCTGGCGTTTGGATCTGTTACATGCTGTCATGTTAGATTATCCAAAAGGCAGTGCCTGACCCAGCATGGATGTCTGTCGTTGCATTTCAGAGAAACAAACAGCTGGCACAGAGGAACTGAGGCAGCTGGCACAGAGGAGAGCTGAGCGCTGGCATAGCTCATTTCCCAAGTGCCACCTTCCATCCATCCTCCAAGAAGATTAACATGGGGAGAAGTGTGTGACTGCTGCGGTGTCTAGCGGCAGCCACACGTTTTTGAGAGTGGTATCCATGGTAGGCACAAGGCTGGTAGGTTCCTCCAGGTCAGGGATGGAGTCTCTGGACCTTCAGCAGGTGTTCAGCCAAAATGCCCCTGAGGCTTGGTCTAAGCCAAGCAATTTCTGCTGTAGTCTATTCACACTTAACCTTGCATTTCTGTTCTTTTTCTTCCCCAGTTGTTGGTTGACTGCAATAACGTCCAGAATATGCCCACCATCACCTTTGTCATTAATGGAGCCCAGTTGCCGCTGCCTCCCTCTGCCTACGTCTCCAACGTACGTATGCTGCATTGTTCACTAGTATATCTTTTAAAGCATTATATCAGTGTGTTGTAATATCTAGAAATTGTGGAAATAGCATTGTACTTCATGTCATCCTAAGAACAGGGTTTCTGTTTAAAGAAAATATGTGTCTCATGCGTTTTATACTCCCGAGTGGCACTTTGCGCAAAGCAATTGTGTTCTGCTAATTTTTCTCCTGGCCTTTTCTTTTGATTATCTTTCTTAGAACATGACATGTATCACTGACATCTGCATTTTTTTCCTTATATATGCAAATACAAAAATCTTCTCAAATTCTCATCTGTGCTGACTGGGTGACTTTGGGCCAGTCACAGACTCTCAGCCCAACCTACCTCACAGGGTTGTTGTTGTGGGGATAAGATGGAGGAGGAGAGATGATGTAAGCTGCCTTGAGCCCTTTGTAGGAAAAAGGCAGGATATAAATCGCAATATAAATAAATAAATATCGGTTCATATTTTTTAAGCCTAACATAAAATTTAAAAAATCAATAAAATACGTCATGAAATTTTCCCCAAGTAGAGGTGGAACTTAAGCTGTTTTCTTTTCTTTTACAGAACAATGGACGCTGTACAGTTGTAGTTGGGCCCACATATTTGCATTCCTGGGTTCGCCAACCTCTATTTATCCTTGGTGATGTCTTCCTTAAGGAGTATTATTCTGTCTTTGACATGGCCAACAATAGGGTGGGCTTCGCACCATCAGCTTAGACTGACAAATCTCACCTCCTTTCCGGTCTTCCATGGCTTGCATTCAGTCAATTACTTTGTGATCCACTGTGACCTAGAAATAAATTCTAATATCCCAAATTGTTGTTTGTCTTTCTTAAAGAAATATTTATTTGTAATGGTTCACAATGTTCAGAAGTAGAAATAGGGAAGGAGAAACTAACAGAAACAGTCGGGTAGGGAAGAATGAAAGCAAGGGAAGTGTAAAAAAAGGGGGGGTGCATAAAAGTGCAACAAATAGGATTCAGGGGCTGAAGTATCAAACCTATGAGGAGAGATTACAACAAGGACATTACAAAGGAGAGAGATTTGTAATCTCTCCTATGAGGAGAGATCACAAAAGTCCCACACTTTTTGGACCTATGAGCAGATTTGGAAATTTGAGAAACTGCTCTGGGAACCACCACAAATGAGTATCAGCAGTTTGCTGTTTTGCCATCTAGCCTTTTCGTATGTATTCATCCAGTTTTTTTTGGCAACATCCATTAGTTGCCTCTTTTTGCAGCAAGGTTATTAGACAGATACATTTTGTATTGGAGCAGCCTTTAATTTTTCACTGATGTACATATTCCTGATATATAGGCAACCACTTTCAAATGGATAATTCTATGGATATTTGGACTTATTTGGACTTTTGTAGCAGCCTATGCATGATTGCTTAAAATTATTTATTTATTTATTTGTTTGTTTGTTTGTTTGTTTATTTATTTAAAGTTTTTGTAGGCTGTCCCCTTGCTATATAGCCTCGGGGCAGCTCACACAAATAAATAAATATAATACAAATACAGTTAAAACCCGGAAACACTCTGGCTGCACAATTAAAACCTATAAATATTATACATTGTTAAAATATTGTTTGAATACAAAGGCCTTAGCCTGGCGCTGAAAAACAAATAACGATGGCACCAGGTGGACCTCTCTGGGGAGCGCATTCCACAGATGGGGTGCCACCACAGAGAACGCCCTCCTCCGGGTACTTTGCTTCCTGATGTCTCTCCCGGAGGGCTCCCGGAGGAGGGCCTCTGCTGCCGATCAAAAGGGGTGGGAGGGCAAATATGGAAGCATGCATATTGCATGCATTTCATGCAAATATTTTGTACATTTTATACACACAGGTATGTATTTTTTAGAAGGAGCAACTGATATAAAGCAACACAGGCACCACATTGGGATACCCTTCACAGGCACTACTGCAGATGTTTGCAGCTGGAGGTGCCATGTTAGTCATCTCTGGGTTACAACATCTGGTCTAACTTTGAAGTGGCTCAATCAGAAGTTGATGTTTTCTAATGTGCCAGATCAGGAGCTACAGGGTCAGCATGTTTCCTACAAAAATAGGAAGCAAAAGTAATAAAGCACATGAAAGTGAATCCTTCGTATCTTTGTATTAATGTTTCTAAAAGTTAAAGGAAAGAAAAAGAGCTAAGCCAGCCTCCCACCCTATCTTATGCTCAGCAATCAATATTTCCACTCAAGCATTGCCCAACTATGGCAGAACTCTCTCTGGTTCTCAAAACAACTCTGTATGAAAAGATGGCAGCATTTGTAACTATAATATGTAATAATTCTGTGGTTGCACATTCATTCAATTAGAATGTGTTAATTCTAATTCAGATGGGATAATTCAGATGGGACAGAAGGTTGGTACCTGTTCCCCCATCTGGTTATTACCTCAACCAGAAGGTTCCAGGTAAGCTCGGACCCTCGGGCCTGACGGTGCTGTTGCTAAATACCAGGTCGGTCCATAATAAATTGTGGATGAGGGGCCAAGCTGGCTTGCATTACAGAGACCTGGGTGGGAGAGGATGGGGATGTGGCCCTCTCTCAGCTGTGCCCACCTGGGTATCTAGTCCAGCACCAGTCATGTCCCGAGGGGAGGGGATGGGGGGTCTCTTTAATTCATCGAGCTGCAATTTCCCTCACGGGGCTTCCTGTCCCCTCGAGACCAGGCCTAGAGTGCTTATACCTGGCATTGGGTGATTGAGACAGACTGGGGATTCTGCTGGTGTACCATGCACCCTTCTGCCCATCAGACTCCCTGCCTGAGCTGACGGAGATCATCTTGGACCTGGTGTTGAAGACCTCCAGAATGTTGGTCCTGGGGGACTTCAATCTCTATGCCAAGACTGTTCTGACTGGGGTGACTCAGGACTTCATGGTCTCCATGACAGCCCTGGGGCTGTCTCAACATGTCATAGGCCCCACCCATGAACGTGGTCACACGCTGGACCTGGTTTTCTTGATGGGGCAGGAAGAGAGTGAGGAATCTATGTCTCACCCCCTTGTCATGGTCAGATCACTTCCTCATGAGGTTTGAGCTTGGAGCTGACCTTTCCCTCTGTAAGGGTGTGGACCCTATTGTGATGGTCCACCCTCAGATCCAGATGGATCCAGATGGATTCCTGAGGGCTCTGGGGAATTTTCTGGTTGATAAAACTGGCACTCCTGTTGATGCTCTGGTTGAATTGTGGAATGGGGAAATGGCCAGAGTTATTCACACGATTGCCCCTAAGTGTCCTCTCCTGCCAAGCAGAGCCCGTCCATCTCCATGGTATACATCTGAATTACGGGCAATGAAGTGGGTTGGGAGATGTCTAGAGCATAGGTGGAGGAAATCACGGGATGAATCTGACCGAACACGCTTACGTGCTCATTATCGAGTCTATGCTGTGGCAGTGAGGGCAGCGAAGAAGAAATTCTTCTCCACTTCCATTGCCTCCTCACAGTGCCATCCAGCTGAACTTTTTCGAGTGGTACATGGGCTGATACATCCTGGCCCTAAAAAAAGATCCTGTACCACCATCGATGGCCCACTGTGATGACTTTGCCCAGCACTTCAAGGGGAAAATCCTCAGATTCATCACGAGCTGAACTCCGCAATTGATTCAGTTCCCTTCGAGGAGACACCAATGACCCCATCGGGTCAGGTATTATTGGAAAATTTCAGTTCATACAGCCCAATGATGTGGACAAGGTACTTGGACAAGTACGCTCTACCACCTGCTTACTTGACCCTTGCCCTTTGTGGCTGCTGACCAAAGCCAAACATGGGATTGGTTCCTGGATCCTAGAAGTTATTAATGCCTCTCTGAGGGACGGCTGGGTGCCCACTCCTTTAAAGGAGGCAGTAATCAGACCTGTTCTAAAGAAGACATCTCTGGATCCAGAGATGGCCATCAATTATAGACCGGTGGCTAACATCCTGTTTCTGGGCCAGGTGTTGGAATGGGTGGTGGTGGGACAACTCCAGGTACTCTTGGATGAAACTGATTATCTAGACCCATTTCAGTCTGGCTTCAGACCCAGTTATGATACCGAATCTGCCGTGGTTGCCCTGCACGATGACCTGTGCAGGGAGAGAGACAGGGGGTGTGTGTCCCTGTTGGTTCTCCTGGATCTCTCAGAGGTTTTCAATAAGATTGACTATGGTATCTCCTGGATAGGCTGGTGGGATTGGGAGTAGGAGGCACTGCTTGGCAGTGGTTTCGCTCCTACCTTGCCGGCCGATTCCAGAAGGTGGTGCTGGGGTACTCTGGCTCTGCACCATGGCAACTTTGCTATGGAGTACCGCAGGGTTCCATTTTGTCCCCCTTGCTATTTAACATCTACATGAAACCGCTGGAAGAGGTCATCAGGAGGCTTGGACTGCAGAGTCACCAGTATGCTGATGACACGCAGCTCTACCTCTCTTTTTCAACTAATCCAGGTGAGGCTATGGCTGTCCTGAACCGGTGCCTGGCTGAGGTAATGGGCTGGATGAGGGCCAATAAACTGAAGCTCAATCCAGATAAGATGGAGGTTCTGTTGGTGGGTGAATCGAGCTTCTGGGTAGGTGACTTGGGCCCTGCCCTGGATGGCGTTCCACTCCCTCTAAAGGACAGGTCCGCAGCTTGGGAGTGCTCCTCGACCCGGAGCTGTCCTTGGAAGGCCAAGTGACAGCGGTGGTGAGGAGCTCTTTCCTCCAGCTTTGGCTAATCTATCAGCTGCGTCCCTACCTGGGGGAGAATTGCCTAGCAACAGTAACACATGCATTGGTTACTTCCTGGATGGATTTATGTGGGGCTGTCCTTGAAGACAGTCTGGATACTTCAGATGGTACAAAATAGAGCTGCCAGGATGCTGTCAAGGACTGGGCGTTATTCTCATATAACCCTAGTCCTCTATCAGCTCCATTGGCTTCTTATTGAAGTCCAGGCTCAATTCAAGGTGCTGGTTATCACCTGTAAAGCCCTAAATGGCTTGGGACCAGGATACCTAAAGGAATGCCTTTTTCCCTATCTGCTCTCCCACCCCCTGAGATCGGCAACAGAAGCCCTCCTCTGGGAACCCTTTGTGAAAGCTGTTAGGAGACAGAGTAGCCGGAGGAGGAACTTCTCTGCGGTGGTGCCCCGTCTATGGAATGTGCTCCCCAGAGAGGTCTGTCTGGTGCCGTCATTATATGTTTTTCAGTGCCAGGTCAAGACCTTTTTATCTAATCAATATTTTAATATGTTTTAATGGGAATTAGATTTTATTGTTTGTATTTTATTCATTGCAGCCAGAGTGGAATTGCCAGTTTATCTATTTTATTTTATTTATTTATTTATTTATTTATTAAAACATTTTTATGCCGCCCCATTCGCCGAAGCCTCGGGGCGGCTTACAACATCGATAAAACAATAAGTTAAAATCCATATAAAATAATCTTAATTAAAACACACATTATAAAATAAGCCGCCCTGGCCAGATAAAATTCAATTGTATTTAGCATTTAAAATGTTGCTTAAATAAAAAGGTCTTAGCCTGGCGCCGAAAAACAAATAACGACGGCGCCAGGCGGACCTCTCTGGGGAGCGCATTCCATAACTTAGGCGCCACCGCTGAGAAAGCCCTTCTCCGAGTAGCCACCCTCCTAATTTCTCTCACGGAGGGCTCCCGGAGAAGGGCCTCTCCCGCCGATCTCAGGGGGCGACTGGGCAAATATGGATGTAAGCGCTCCTTCAGGTAGCCAGGACCCAAGCCGTTTAGGGCTTTGTAGGTCATTACCAACACCTTGAATTGGGCCCGGACTTCAATGGGGAGCCAGTGAAGCTGACGGAGAACTGGCGTCATGTGAACATAACGTCCAGTCCCCGTCAGCAGCCTGGCAGCTCTATTCTGAACCAATTGAAGTATCCGGACCGTCTTCAAGGGTAGCCCCACGTATTGCGCGTTACAGAAGTCAAGACGGGAAGTCACCAGCGCATGAGTCACTGTTGCAAGGCAGTCGTACTCCAGGTAGGGGCGCAGCTGATGAATCAGCCGAAGCTGGAGGAAAGCGCTCCTCGCCGCTGTTGTCACCTGAGCTTCAAGTGAAAGCTCCGGGTCGAGGAGCACTCCCAAGCTGCGGACCTTGTCCCTAGGAGGGAGTGCAACCCCATTCAGGACAAGGTTCAGGTCACCTTCTCCGAAGCCCGAACCGCCAACCAACAGGACCTCCGTCTTTATCTTGATCTATGTTGTAAGCCGTCCAAAGACGCAAGTAATGGACGGCATACAAATTTTATAAATAAATAAATGTGTTATAAAATGACTGTACGTAGTCAAACAATGTACTAACACCCAACTTATGGATAGATAATGCTGTCTGTACTTCTTTCCAGCCACTCACTCATACATGGCTAAATTCCTAGTAGATAAGAATGACTGATCCAGCCAGATCCAACCAGTGGAATTGATTTGTTTCTTGGTCTTGCTGCTAAAGGGCAGTACAATAGATAAGCAGATTTCCAAGCTGGCAACAGCTTGATGTGCTGACATATCCTTGGGAATGGTGGTGGCTTTATCATCTTGGGAAAATAGCATTGAATAAATGCTTCTAAAGAGGCATATGCAGAGCAAAGTGATGTCACGATTATTGATTTCCTTTGGCCTGACTCTGTAAAACCGTACATCAGAAATTAACTGCTCTCTTTTCAATGCTTATCGCATACTTGATGTTACGGCCAGCATACTTCCACACGTTAGATGGGTTTCCCACATGTATATATACTGAAATGCCCCAGGTTCAAGGGTGATGCTTCTTTAACTATTAGATGCCTTATACAGTGAGACTGAACAAGAACTACATGCTCATTTCGCCTGACCTTTGCATTCTTAGAATGGCCAGTGGTTTAAGAAAAATGAGTCGTTCTCTTGAATATTATATGCAAAAGAATTCCAAATACCCTTGAATAAGGTTCTCTTGAATATTATATGCAAAAGAATTCCAAATACCCTGGAGAAAAGAGACCGTGAAGCAGGTGATCATTTCTCAGTGGTACAATATGCTCTGACAAATATTCACATTGTGATTATAAACTTGTCCTTTATTAATTTTAAAAAGAATATTGCCAATTTCCCAAGGTAACTGATTAAACTTTGGCTTATTGTTATCTTATTGCTGATATTTTAAGTAATAAAAAAATCAAGGGCACAGATTGATTCTAAAAATTCTTTCTAACAAGGGAGTTGGATAGCTTATCATCTTTAAAAGCAAAACAGAACAGCAAATGTAGATATTACATGTGCATAATGATATGGGGATAAAAGGGTAAACAGATAAGCCAGGAGAGGACAACTGCTCTGATTATATAAAAGTAGGGACAGAACAACCACAACTGTGCCCAGAATTTGTGGATTCTCTGGAAGAGTGTACTGGAGAAGTCTCAGAGCATCATGAAGTGGTTGGTCCTGGCATTCGTTTGTTTCCATCTGTCAGAGGGGCTGGAAAGGTAAGTGTCCCAAACAGGCTTTCTGAATGAGATTTTTTTGGATGGATTCATCCGTCATAGATGTCTCTGCTTTGAGTAGCAAGCTACATGATGGGCTATTTGCAAAATGAAGAGGGAAGTTGTCAATAAAAAGGAATAGGTGTTATACTGAGGATCCAACATGCTTCTGCTGATCTTGTAAACTCTTTTAATGTTGTGTAGAATTATTCTAAAGAAAGGAAAGTCAGTTCGGGAGAACATGAAGGAAAAAGGAGTGCTGGAAAAATATCTAACAAAACACCGTATCGATCCTGCATTGAAATACCACAGGAATGAATACACCGTTGCTCAGGAACCAATAACCAACTTGTTGAATGTGAGTATTGTAACAATGCAAATTCAGGTCCTCATGTTTGGTTTTATCTTTGTTCATTGAATGCTGATGTCTGAATTCAGAAAGTGATGAACAACTCCCCAGTTATTCATATTTATTTAGCTGGACTGAACATGATCGGCAAAGGTGTAGCTGTAGATATAAGTTTCTTCTTTGAACTCTAGAACTCGCCATGTTGTTAGAGAAGAGATCCTGATCCTCTTCTTGCATGGCCCTATCATTAGCCTATAGATTATAAGAGCATAAAATGAGCACCGCAGCACTGGACTAAAGTCCTGTTCAGTCCAGCAACTTGTTTCCTGAAATGCCTATAGGAAGTCCACAGGCAGAACATGAGGGCAATGTCCCTCTCCTGCCATTGATCCACAGCAGCTATCATTCAGAAGCTTATTGCCTCCTATCCTGGAGATACACTATAGCCATTGTGGCCAGTTCCCATTGCTAGCCATATCCTCCATGATTTTCTCTAATTGGTTTTTAAACTATTGAAGTTGGTGGCCATCACCATATCTTGGTGAAAGTGAGTTCCATAGTGAATCCCATGTCTGCTGTGTGACATACTTCATCCTGTATGTCTATAATCTCCAACTGGCAGTTTCATTGGATTTATTTGGGTGTGGGCATTAAAGAGATGAAGAAATAATATCTCTGTGACCACTTTCCCCATACCTTGCAAAATGTTATCTACATATATCAAGTCCCACTTTTTAATCCACCACCTAAATAGCTTCATAGGCAGTAGTCTGATGTAACTTGTTTCGTTTAATGAAATGAAACTTATTTCTTCATGATCTGAAAAGCATTTTATGGTCCTCAGTGTGGCTGTGTTCATATCCCTTCTTTGGATTACAGAATGAGTCTTACAGTGGTAGAACTATGCAGAAACTGAATAAAATGCCTAAATTTTACCTTCTTGTCTAAACAGATAAAAATTAAAAACATTATTCGTTTTTGCATAGCTGTGGAGCTAAATTGCTGTATAATCTTGAAGACAGCATTCTTTGTTAATCTGATTTCTTTATGATCTTGAAAGATCTTCTGAAAATTTAAATAAGACAATATTAGAGCACCAGTGAAAAGAATAACAACATTTAAAGACATTGTGAAGTATTCTGACTGACTAAAGTTTTTCTTTGGCAGACATACTACTTTGGAGAGATCAGTATTGGGACTCCACCACAGAACTTCCGTGTTCTCATGGACACTGGATCTGCCAACCTCTGGGTACCCTCTGTGCAGTGTAATACTTATGCCTGTGGTGAGTTCTCTGCAGCTGAAAGGGTGTCCAGCCCTCCATTTTGTTTTGAAGTAATTTAAACTTATTTTTTGAAACTGGCCTTTATTTATTTATTTATTTATTTATAACATTTCTATGCCGCACCCATCACAGAAGCCTTGGGGCGACTTACAAAGAAATAAATAAACAAAACATGGAATAACTTTAAAAATTTGGAGTTTCTCGGCCATAATTTAAAACCACTAAATAAAACAACCAATTTAACAAATAAAATATCGTTTAAATAAAAAGGTCTTGGCCTGGCGCCGAAAAACAAATAACGACGGCGTCAGGAGGACCTCTCTGGGGGGCACATTCCATAGGTGGGGCGCCACCGCAGAGAAGGCCCTCCTCCGGATACTCACCCTCCTAATATCCCTCACAGAGGGCTTCCGGAGAAGGGCCTCCCCCGCCAATCTCAGGGGGCGGAGGGCATATATGGATGTAAGCGCTCCTTTAGATAACTAGGTCCCAAGCCGTTGAGGGCTGTATAGGTGATAACCAGCACCTTGAATTGGGCCCGGACTTCAATGGGGAGCCAGTGAAGCTGACGGAGGACTGGGCTTATATGAGAACAACGCCCAGTCCCCATCAGAAACCTGGCAGCTCTATTTTGCACCAATTCAAGTATCCGGACCGTCTTCAAGGGCAGCCCCACGTAGAGCGCGTTACAGAAATCTAATCGGGAAGTTACCAGTGCATGTGTCACAGTCGCCAGGCAGTCGTTTTCCAGGTAGGGACGCAGCTGATGGATCAGCTGAAGCTGAAGGAAGGTGCTCCTTGCCACCACTGTTACTTGAGTTTCTAATGTCAGCTCTGGGTCGAGGAGCACTCCCAAGCTGCGAACCCTGTCCCTAAGATGGAGTGCAACCCCATTCAGGACAAGGTCCAGGTTCCCCATCCCGAAGCCTGACCCACCTACCAACAGGACCTCTGTCTTGTCTGGATTGAGCTTCAGTTTATTGGCCCTCATCCAGCCCATTACCTCAGCCAGGCACCAGTTCAGTACAGCCACCGCCTCACCTGGATTAGTTGAGAACGAGAGGTAGAGCTGGGTATCATCAGCGTACTGATGATTCCGCAGCCCACACCTCCTAATGACCTCTCCCAGCAGTTTCATGTAGATGTTGAATAGCAAGGGGGACAAAATGGACCCCTGCGGAACTCCATGGCATAGCTGCCATGGCGCAGAGCCATAGTCCCCCAGCACCGCCTTCTGGAATTGGCCATAGAGATAGGAGCAGAACCACTGCAAAGCAGTGCCTCCGACCCCCAATCCCGCTAGCCTATCCAGAAGGATACCATGGTCGATGGTATCGAAAGCCGCTGAGAGGTCCAGGAGAACCAACAGGGACGCACTCCCCCTGTCTCTCTCCCTGCCCAGGTCATCATACAGGGCAACCAAGGTGGATTCAGTACTGTACCCAGGTCTGAATCCAGACTGAAATGGGTCCAGATAATTTAGAGAACCTATATTGGCAGGCAGCACTCAGATAGTTTCCCAACTCTTTGATGTCTCCAGGCTTGGACACATCATCCTTTGAGCTTGAAATTATTATCACTTGTAACTCAATGGGATCCAGTCCTGAAGAACTGAAGCACCCTCTTTTATTGGAACCAGCCAACCAACCAAAACGTTGATGGCTTGATACTATGATGGCACATGAACATACATGATACGTGCTTCATGCACATGGAGGATGGGAGTACATAGTATGAAGGGAATAGTGTATTTTATTTATATGGCAAAGTGGGGGCTGCAGGGTGCTTAATTTTACCCATGCCCAACTATTCTATTTAAATACCCTTCTGAGTCATTTTAAACAATCTTTTCTTTTAGCCTCTGAAACCAGGGAAAAAACCTGGCCAAGGAAATTCTGTTAGTTCAGCAAATGCTACTTTGGGAGCAGAGCTTTGTTGCGATCATAGGTAGTTCTACCCTTATACCACTTGATCCTGAAAACCAAAATATTTAAGTGGCAGAGTCCGTGTTGGCATGTAAAAGGTCTTTGGTTCAAACCATGGCATATCCAGACAGGGGAAAGAAAGACTCCTATTTGAAAGGCTGGAGAGGCCCTGCTAGTCACAATATAGAGCTGGATGGCCCAATGGCCCAATTACTGCTTCCTATATAAGGCTGCTTCCTATATTCCCATTAGGAAACAGCAAGTGAGGTTTTGAAATGAACTGCCTTTTGGCATTCAGTGATTAAACAAATTTAATTGAACTAATTGTGCTTCCAGACAGAGGTCTGCTTGTACCAACAATCAAAAGCTACCTTTCCCTCTTTCACAGAATTGTTCCCTATAAGGGGGAAAAAAGATGAAGAAATGGTGATAGAATATGGAAGGGTTGCAAACTGAAGAAGCCATCACCTGAACCCCTGTAGAATTCCTTAAATGATATGAGATGGTTGCATAATAGATGACTTGCCTTGGAGCACAGTACTTCTGAAATAATTTCCCATTCTGTAGATCTCCAAATATGAGGTGGCTCATAATTTGCATGTGTAGCTGGGGGGAAGCACTCCTTGGATTATCACCTGTTTTTTGTACTCTGCTATTTTTCCAATGGCATCAGCATAGTGGGCATGCAGTTACCCAATGTTATCCCCATAAAACCTTTGGATGAGTCAGGCTGTGAGACACTCAATTGCCAGAAAGCCTTCTAGTGAACTCCATGGCTCCCTAAGGATTTTGAACCCATCAAGAAATCTTTCCAGTACACTGTTCTGATTTTCTTATGACATGGACACATTCTACAGATGTTGAATCATGTAGAAACAGTAAGGGTTCCCTTGTTATCCAGCAGTGATACTTTCGGAGCTCCTTATGCATTCTCGCTTCACTCTCCTCAGGATGTGAGCACATGCCATTTGTGGATTATTGCCATTCAGGCTTGGCCTGTAACACAGGCAAACATCTTCTGGACAGATTAATTTTGGGGAATGCATTGTGTATGCCAAAGGTCATGTTTCATTGCCACATGCAGAACAATTTGTAGATTCATTTCTTTTCTTTTCATTCCTATTCCAGGCAATCATAACAAGTTCGATCCAAGTGCATCCTCTACCTTTGTCAACAACGGACAAACCGATACCCTGTACTATGGGAGCGGTAGCTTGACCATTGAGCTAGCCTATGATACTGTGCAGGTAAATGAACTTGTAGTCACTCATCTTTAACTATAGTGCATTCTGGAAATCTTTAAACTGTAGTTACAGCAGGACTATCAGAAATCATCTGCAGGAAAAGCAAGTGAGTTGCTAGTTAGAACTCAACATTTCAATCTGAACCTCATGGGTACAAATGAACGGGCCCAAAGGTATGACTTGTGATGCTGAGATCCAGTATTATGGAAGCCCCTATTACACATTTCATTTGCCATTCTAAATCTTTCCATTTCAGAGAAAAAAGTCTTAGAGCACATACACTGATTACATTTAGTTTTCAACTTGTAAGATTTGAATTCCAGCCAAACTTGACAACTATGTCTTCTCACAGAAGCTGGATTGTGAACATTTTGTTTCTAACAGCTTTTTGCTGAACAGCTGAGATGTTTGTGGTAATTCCACAGCATCACACCAACACTAATAAACACCACTAGAGGCCTCATTACCACACACACAATGCAACTGAGATAGTTATTTATCGAGTCCTAATCTGAAGTGATTCAGTGAAGCCTTTTTGCAGGTCTGGGAGGCCCTTCGACTTGTGAGAACTAAAATGCATAGTTTACCAAGAGAAATTGTCAGCCTTAGTATCACCATGAGCACAATAGTGTAGTTAGAATTTGATCCGAAGCAGACTGGCAAAGTTTAACCCTAGGAAGCCTATGGAATGTAAAGTCTTGTGAAGGAGACTTTGCCAGTGTTATCAGGCAAAGACACATAGGAATTGGGTCATTCCCTCTTGCCCAGATATAGTGATGACCTTTGCAGACATGAGAACCTGGCAGCTCTTCTGGGAACTTAGTAGAAGAATGGTGGTAATGGCAAAGACATTTAACTTAATGTTTGTATTTTAACTTAATGTTGTGAGCCGCCCCGAGGCTTCGGCGAATGGGGCGGCATAGAAATGTTTTAATAAAGAAGAAAGAAAGAAAGAAAGAAAGAAAGAAAGAAAGAAAGAAAGAAAGAAAGATGTCACGGACTGAAGTCTCATGAGAGGGTGGAGGACTAAATCCTGTCAGTTACTTGTGTGGTAGAAGAGCTATCATAGGCATTCCCTGTTTGAAAAAGCTGCTCCTTATCCTAAGGAGTTTTTCCTAGGAACATCTTGTCTTCTCAGCCTGTATCATTACATTTGGATCCAACACTGCTTGGGTCTAAGGAAGCCTTCTACATACGAATTCTTTACCTATTTGGGCCCTTTACTCCTCTGCATGTTTTGTGAGGAACCCGCAAAGATGGTGATGTTTTTATTAGGCTGTGGCTCCCTGTGGATTAAGGTGCATATGGTCCCTCGGAACTGTCTGGGCTGGGATAAATCCTGATGCTTGGACTTCACTGTGCCTGGGCCCCTGCAATCTAAGGCTCTCAATGTGAGAGGCCTTGCACATCAAGATCTCAGCAATGGGAACTTTTATCCTCCTCCTCCTCATCATCATCACCATCAGCTTCATTCCTATACCATCCTGTAGCCAAAGCTCTCTGGTCAGTTTTCATAGACTTGTATTAAGCATATTTTAATTTCTCATATGTATTAAGCTTGGACTTATATCACACAGAGGTTCCAATGCAGGATTCAAAGTTGCTATTGACTGCTGTATAGATCAGTTCAGATCTTTTCCTTGACCCATCATCTTTGATTGCAGAAGACAGATGACCTTAGGAATAATTTTGCCCTTGACATGTACTTGAGCTACAGACATTACAAATGGGAAACTGCTGTCTGGGTCTCTAGCTTGGCTGTAGCTATTATCCTTGAAATGTCATCAAAATACTATTAAAGCCTATAGCAACTGCCACCTGCTATAAATGTTTTTGAAGACTGTAACCATTAAGCTTTTGCCATGGGATTCCTTGTAGTTTTGCTGAGTTAGCACTCCCTGCATTGGAATCCAAGTTTATGGGTCTGAGAACCTGCCAGGAATGCGACCTTAAGTTACTTTCACACAGTTCAATGTTTTGCTCTTCAGGATTATTTCTAACATAATGAGTATTGCCTGTCCCTGGCAGTGGTTACTGTGTGGTGCAAGTTCACAGTTGTTACCATGACTCATACTGCAGATGTGAAATCCCCTTCTCCCTTCTTTCCCAGATCCAGAATATTGTGGTTTACAACCAAGAATTTGGCCTAGGTGTGAGTGAGCCTACTGATCCCTTCTATTATGCCAGTTTTGATGGGATCATGGGGCTTTCCTATCCTTCCAGTGCAGTAGGCCATGTAGGGGGTGCCACTGTTCTGCAGCAGATGCTGAGCCAAAACCAGCTTTCTGAACCCATCTTCAGCTTCTATTTCTCACGGTAAGCTCTGATCCCAAACTGGTGTTTTTGATAGGTTGCACATACAAGTAGGAATATGTGAAGAATTTGTTTGGAGGTGGCAATCCATCTGGTTCCCTGGACTGGGCTCTCTGGACTCCGGTCCACTTTGTTGGACACTGGCAGAATTCAAGCCCCACACACTGGGCAAGCAAAACCCTCTTCCGCACCACAAAGAGCCGCCATCTGGGATGCTGCACCTGACATGGGAGAAGGTTGATCATGAAGAGCTCACCAGGAACAGAGCCCCATGTGATCCCTGTACAACCAGTGTCCCTCTTCCATGCCACCTGCAGCAGCTGTTTGGGCTGCTTCCCTTGATGCGGAAGAAGGTTACCAGTTGTGCAACCTTTGTTCCGCAAGTGTTTGTGGGCTTCCTCTAGACTCAGCTTTCTTTCCAGGACTGAGCTGAGCACAAAAGGGAATAAATAATTATTTATGGAATAAATAATTAGAATTGGCTTCTAATTATAGACCAGTGGCCAACATCCTGTTCTTCTACATGGTGCTCGAGTGGGTGGTGACCAGGCAACTGGATGACACTCTTGGATGAAACTGACCATCTGGACCCGTTAGGCCTGGTTATGGGATGAAAACTGCCTTGGCTGCCCTATTCAATGACCTGTGCAGGGAGAGGGACAGGGGGAGTACGTCCCTGTTGGTTCTCCTGGACCTCTCAGTGGCTTTCGATACCATTGACCATGGTATCCTTCTGGATAGGCTGGCTGAGTTGGGGGTTGGACGCACTGCTCTGCGATGGTTCTACTCCTACTTGGCTGACCAATTCCAGAAGGTGGTGCTGGAGGATTGTGGCTCTGCGCCACGGCACCTTTGCCATGGAGTTCCGCAGGGTTCCATTTTATTCCCCGTGCTATTTAACATCTACATGAAACTGCTGGGAGAGGTCATCAGGAGGTGAGGGCTGCGGAGTCATCAGTACGCTGATGATACCCAGCTCTACCTCTCTTTTACATCAAATCCATGTGAGGCAGTGGAGGTGCCTAGCCTAGGTTGATGGGCTGGATGAGAGCCAATAAACTGAAGCTTAATCCAGACAAGATGGAGGTCCTGCTGGTAGGTAATTTAGCCTCCTGGGTAGGTGTTTCTAACCCTTTTCTGGATGGGGTTCCACTCCTGCTAAAGGACAGGGTGCTCAGTTTGGAAGTGCTCCTCGACCTGGAGCTGTCCCTGGAATCCCAGGTGGCGGTGGTGGAAAGGAATGCTTTCCTTCAGATCCATCAACTGTGTCCCTATCTGGATGGGCAGTGCCTGGCAGCGATGACCCATGTCCTGGTAACTTCCCAATTGGACTACTCTAACGCGCTGTATGTGGGGCTGCCCTTGAAGATAGTCCAGATATTTCAACTGGACCAGATTAGAGCTGCCAGGTTGTTAACAGGGACTGGCAGGCATGAATATATAACACCAGTCCTTTTCCACCTACACTGGCGTCCAGTTGAAATCCCCATTTAAGGTGCTGGTGATTAGTATAAAGCCCTAAATGACTTAGGGCCTGGTTACCTGAAGGAGCGTCTCCTTCCATATGTGCCTGCCTTCCATCCCTTAAGAACTGGGGCAGAAGGAGGGTGACTACCTCGAGAAGGGCCTTTTCTGCAGTGGCACCCCAGTTGTAGAATTTGCTCCCCAAAGAGGTTTGCCTGGCACTATCACTTTATTCTTTTCGGCGCAAGGCCAAAACCGTTTTTCCCCCCAATGTTTTAAGACTTGATTGTTTTAATTGGGGTTGTATTATTAGTTAAATTTTAGGATGCCATGTTTTAAATTTTTTACATTTTGTATTGTTAAACTGTCCCAAGACTTTGGTAATGGGACAGCCTACAAAAGTTTTAAATAAATAAATAGCTACAACCACCACTGACTTCTAGCTTTAAAATCATAAACCTAGTTGTGAATACAATAAAGACTGAAAAAGTTAGCCTTAACATTCTTTAACTAGAGTACTGGAAGGATGGCTTTCCCCCATCTTTTTACTGCATGCTTTTCAGTGCAGTAAGACTCTAATTGTTATGAACATGAGATCAGAGGATGCTAATTTGTCTGAATTAGTTGATCCAGGGTAACCTGTGCCCAACTTGCTCTCTCGTTCAATCTTCTGTACACCCTAATTTCTGTTCTCCATTTATACTTTCTCTAATCTTGTTTTCTTAGCTCCCAACATACAGGATTCAGATTAATAGACCTACTTGAATCTTGGCCACGTTCAACCATTTTTCTAGCTGATCAACTGTATGGCAAATATTGACTTCAGGAGGCATTGGAAACCCACTCTTCATTATGCTTATACATATCTCTGCACGTTTATAATTAATCTGGGCTGTTTTGTCCATTTTTCCCCTTCCAGAAACCCAACTGTTCAGTATGGAGGAGAATTGATCCTTGGAGGTATTAATGATCAGCTGTTCTCTGGTCAGCTTACCTGGACACCCGTCACCCGTGAAGCTTACTGGCAAATTGGCTTTCAGGAGTAAGTGATTCACTTAATTCTCATTTCATTCATTGCTGTTTGTGGTTTCCCACTTTAATATCCTGTTTGCATGTCCCTGTCTAGATGTACAACAAAGGGGTTTCCCACTTTTCCCTTTTTGTGCATGGAAAATATTCCTTATTTATTCCTTATTATCAGTGGTATTACCTTACAATGATACCCCACTGTTCTTCCTCTTGCAAGGCAGCCAAGATGGATTTCACTTTAAAATATCTGGGTAGGATTTAGGAGATTATGACTGTACCAGTGGAAGTACCCCTGAATGGGAAATAAATTTGTAAAAAAAAAATCAGTAACAAGATACTGCAGGTTGAATGTTCAGAAAATCCTCTTGGAACTGAAGAGCTGCTTCAAGAAAAACAGACAACAGGATATTTATTGGGTATGCACACGTATATACACAATGTACATAATCTGGGAAGGTCCTTAACAACTGTGTGGCAGCCACAGCAGCTTCCGTGGCAGCTTCTACTGAAACATGCATTCCATTGTACTTGTTTCAGTAGAACCAGTGGGCAATATCTTTCGATTAAAATCGATCAGACCAATATACAGCCTGCTCTGTCAAGGATTCCTTAAGTTTAGCCCTGTGGAAAACTTGGAACAGTTTGTGGAGGAGGAGGAAGAAGATTGAGAAGACTGGAGATGGTAGAAACATTTCATCCCAAAGAACAATCACAGAACTGAGTCTCTGTGAATCCATGCAGTGTCTCACCATTGCTCTTGCCTCTATAGGTTTCTAATTGGTAACCAGGTTACTGGCTGGTGCAGCTCAGGCTGCCAGGCTGTCGTGGACACTGGGACGTCTACGCTGGCTATCCCACAGCAGTATATTGGGAGTTTTGTGCAGTACGTAGGAGCTCAGCAGGACAACAATGGAGATGTAAGTAGATGAGAGAGCTTCACATGGTGCCTCAACTCAGGGGAAAGAGTTGCAAGCAGGGAAAAGCAAGGGCTAATCAATTCAGGGCATGCAACAGGTCCCTCCCAGGGGCCTTTGAGTGGATGCTATTGGAAAGAGAATGCTGGTCTAAATGGATTAGTTGGTTCCACAAAGGTAATCTATAGGGCATCCTATTCTTTACTGTCTGGGTAAGGGTGTTGTAGCTTTGTTTACCATAGCATGACCTCCTGATTTTCACTTGATCATGGTGCAGAGGAGGCCTTCTGTGCTTGGCACCTACCATGTAGGATGACCTGCCCAATGAGATCAGGAAGACACTTAGTGTGAAGTGCTTCTACTGGCAATGTAAGACAACTTGTTTGCCTCATTGTTAGCAATCTAAGATGCATTTCAAGATTTTATATGAAAATTATGATTGCTTTATCATTTTAAAACATCTTGTTGCTTGGTTTTGCAGCTTTTTCTTGATTTTATTTTTGTGATCCCGCTGGGGGTTTTAAAAAATGAAAAATGGTATAACATTTCTCTGAAATAAAATAAAGTATGTAGATTATCTTAAGTGTGTGAACAAGGCAGCTTATGACACTGCTGTTTATAAAAAGATGGGTACTGAAAGTAAGGCTTTCTATTGCATTGAAATTAACTGAAAATGTTTTGTGTGCTAACTTAGTTGATAGAAGGGGCATGATCCAAAGAACCCCTCTTCTAGTCTGCTCACAGAGTTAACCTTCCCTTTCTAATTTTTCTTTCACAGTATTTTGTGAACTGCAATAACGTCCAGAATTTGCCTACCATCACCTTTACCATTAATGGAGCTCAGTTCCCACTGCCTCCTTCTGCCTATGTCAGCAATGTATGTATCTGATATCGCTTAAAATAAACCCGCAATACAGTGCATATTTTGAATCATGCTACTAAAGTGTCCAGACCAAGATGATTATATGCAGTTTACATCAACTTCTTGATCAATGGGCTCTATTAGGCTTTACCCAGGGAAACCACTGGAATGCTACCTGGGCATGTTTTTCCTGGCCTTTTCTTGCGGTCATGGAACTTTCACTGCAATTCAAACTGCTTTTTGGATTTGCAGCCACAAGATCTTCTCAAAGGTTCTTCTATTCTGGTTTTAACTGCTAGAAGCAAGAAATAGAAACAAGAATATGAGAAAGATCCTTTCATTTTGTGGCTTTTGCTAGTACGCACCTCTCTGTGGTGCTGTGTAGCTAGCCAGACAGGCTACCACATGTGATCTAACGCCTCTGATTGATATGTCCTTGCAAGCCAGCCCTGATCTCAACTTACTTGCATTATTTATTTCCCCAGCAGAGGTTTAACTTGGCTTCTTTTTGTTCCACAGGACAATGGCTACTGCACCCTTCAGATTGAGGCCACATACCTGCCTTCCCCATCTGGGGAGCCTATGTGGACCTTTGGTGATGTCTTCCTCAAGGAGTATTATTCTGCCTACGATATAGGAAACAACATGATGGGCTTTGCACCATCAGTCTAGAGAGACCAAAAGTCCAAGCCTGTTGAGAAGAAAAATACTACTGTTCCCTTGGACACTTCGTAGAGGGTCCTAAATTGTTTGTAAATGAAATGGTGTATCCTCAACTTTCTGTAATGCACCTGCCTTACCCTGGGTATAATCAAATCTTTTGAAATCCACTGCTGAAGAGCAATAAACTCTGGTATGCCAAATTGCTACTTGTGTGTTTTGACTTGGTGTGCCTAAGGACTAAGGATTGGTTTTATGAGGTGACTTAAACTGACAAAACCTGGCTTTCCCCCTGGTTTTTATAGTGTCTTCTCTACTTTTAAAAACATGAGCTTGGAGGAATAACCATGAGAGCCTGTGAATGAATTTGAGGAGTGCCATTTTGGTTTAGGGCACTGATCCTAACTATCAATGACTTAGGAGCAATTTCCCCTGGAGTAAAGAAAACATCTCACATAAAAATATGATTTCAGCCTGTTTCAAGAAGACATGTACTTATCAGTCTACAAAGAAAAAACTGTTAAATTACAGATTAATTCAATTTTATACTGAGCTATTATTTTCTGATTTAAAGCAGAAAAAATGTAAATCCAAAACATTAACACCATAGTACCTGCATAAAACTATATTGCTATGTATCATGATAGGAGTTCATTTTGGATCATATTTATAACAAATGATAATAGTAATAATATTTCCTTCCTAACTACCTGTCTTGTCCATTGTGCATAACATAGTCAAGGGCATTCATTTTTATCCCAGCCTTCTCCAATGTGATGGCCTCCAGGTGTTTTGGACTATAATTCCCAGCAGCTCCTGCCAACATGGCCAAAAATCAGAAGACCAAAACATCTGCACGCTGCCACACTGGGGAAGACTTTTTTTATCCCATAGTATCTGCATATAATATATCAGTGCTACCTGTACCTCCAATGGCACTATTTATTAATTTCATTTC